CCAAGAAGTAAACATCTTCTGATTTCCTGGCTGCAGTCTGCATCTGCAGTAATCTTTGCACCTAGAAATACAAATTCTGTCATGGCCTCCATGTTTTCTCCCTCTATTTGCCAGTTATCATTCAGTCTGGTTGCCATGATCTTGGTTTTTTTGATGTTTAGCTTTTGCGCTTTTTTCTTTCGCCTTGATTAGAAGGCTCCTCAGCTCCTCCTCGCTTTCAGCCATCAAAGTGGTGTCATCTGCATATCTCAGGTTGTTAATATTTCTTCCAGCACTTTTTACCCCAGCCTTGCATTTTTCAAGCCCCGCACATTGCATGATGTGTTCTGCATACAAGTTTAATAGGTTGGGTGGGAGTATACAACCTGCCATACACCTTTCCCAATTTTGAACCAGTCTGTTGTTCCATGGTCAGTTCTTACTGTTGCTACTTGGTCCTTATACAGCAGCAGTGGCATTAGGAAACTTTGCCATAATTCAAACTCGAATAGTGCATCTGCTCTGTAGAATTAATGCAGTTTGAAACTACCATGGCTCATGGGAGTTATAGTTTTCCAAGATCTTTGCCCTTTTGTGCCAACAAACTACAAACTCCAGGATCCGACAGCATTGAGTCCTGGTAGTGCAAGTGGGATCGCACTGCCTTCATTCTACAGGACTGTGATGCAACCTCGTATTTTTGGTTCTGACTATCAAAATATAGTGAAAGCCTAGTGCCTGGCAGGATTTTTTTCCTGTTTTTTGCTTTCAAATATTTAATTCGTATGTCTTTACTTTCTCCTCCCCTCCCCCTGCCTCGTCAATTCATTCAGGAGGCTTGCCAGACACGTTTGACACACTACAAATACACCCTCCCAACCTACAGGCGGGAGCGCATGAAAATAGGTAGCTGGGGAACTAATCTAGCACACACCCGCTCTTCACTCTTTGAAGTCTTCCCCATGTTGGGTGCTGAAACGTCAGGATGCAATGTTGCCTTCGGGTTGCCTTGTAAGCCCATTTTAACATGAACATTGTATCTCCAAAGGAAATGTCCCAAATTAGCAACCTCTTGGGGGTAAAAGACCGCATGACATCAAGCAAGAGTTTATGACAGGGGATGGAAACTGTTTTGTAAGATGATATTGGGAATCTTAAACTTGCTGACCGAAAGGTTGGCGGTTCGACTCTGGGAGTGGTGTGAGCTCCCGCTGTTAGCCCCAGCTTCTGCCAACCTAGCAGTTCGAAAACATGCAAATGTTTAAAAATGATGTACCGGTGGTCTATCACGCCTAGTAAACTAGCAAAATATTACAAAAATGCCCCAGAACTATGTTGTAAATGTCAGAAAAAGAAGGGCACCTTTTTCCACTGTTGGTGGACATGTGACAAAATTAAAAGATTCTGGATAGAGATTCACGAAACAACAAATAAAATCTTGAACATCAGGAAGGAAATGAAGGCGGAATACTACCTCTTAGGTATTTTTGACTTTGATATAGAGAAGAACACGGACAAACTCTTCTTTCATATGGTAACGGCAGCAAGGATAGTGGTAGCTAAAAAATGGAAAAATAAAGAAATACCAACGACAGAAGAATGGATGCTTAAACTATTAGATATAATGAATATGGACTCTCTAGCGGAGCACCTGAAAAACACACAAACGATGGAGAAAAACAAGACTGACTGGTCCCCAGTCAAAAATTACTTCAACATCAAACAAATATAGAAAGGGAAGAGACAAGATAAGAAGACAACACCAATACCAATACTAACACCCTCTGCGGGGCAATAATCAATAAATAAGTTTACTAACGTTCCTCCCCGATTCTTCCCAACTCCCCATCCTTCCTGCACATTCCCTCCCCCCTCTCCACTTTCCCTCTTATCCTTCTCCTTCACTACCCCACCCTACCTATCTAAACCCCTACCAAATCCCCAAGTATTACATTTTAATTAAAGATATGTCGATGATTGACACTCTCTCGATGTACACCCTAATCAAAACTCTCAATACAAATTATTTATATATATATATATAAAGAAAACATGCAAATGTTAGTAGATCAGTACGCACCGCTTCGGCATGAAGGTAACTGCGCTCTATGCTCAAAAACCACTGGAGGAATTGACACCAAATTTGGACACAATACACCTATCAGGCCAACGAGTGACACTCACCCATAAAAACCCTGAAAAACACAGCAGAAGAGACTTAAAAAGCAAAAAACCAAAAACAAACATTACAACGCATGAGCAAAACCACATATATATACGCAAACACACATATGCACAAATATATACACACATATAGAGGCCCCCAGTAGCACAGTGGGTTAAACCGAGCTGCTAAACTTGTTGACCAAATGGTCACAGGTTCGAATCCAGGGAGCAGCGTAAGCTTCCACTGTCAGCCCCAGCTTCTGCCAACTTGGCAGTTCGAAAACATGCAAATGTGAGTAGATCAATAGGTACCACTCCGGCGGGAAGGTAAGGGCGCTCCATGCAGTCATGCTGGCCACATGACCTTGGAGGTGTCTACAGACAATGCTGGCTCTTTGGCTTACAAATGGGGATGAGCACCACATCCCAGAGTCGGACACGACTGGACTTAATGTCAGGGAAAACCTTTACCTTTACTTATATACACATATATACACAAACAAAACATATATACACAGACTGGGCCATAGCAACTCATGGCAGGGGACGGCTAGTGTGTGTGTGTACACACACACACACACACACACAAATATATATATATGCACACACACATACACTCTACTGGTCTCATTTCCAACAGATCTCTGAAGATGCTGGCCACAGATGCAGGTGAAATGTCAGGAGATAATGCTTCTGGAACAGGGTCATACACCCCAAAAAACACACACCAGTGTTTCTATCCTTTCTTCCAGCTTTGACAAAGCTATGAAATAATTAGATAATTTGATTTAATATGAACAATTTGTACTTTTCATAGAATAATAGTGTTGGAAGAGACCACATGGGCCATCTAGTCCAACCCCCTTCCATGCAGGAAAAGCACAATCAAGTCTCCATGACAAATGACCATCTTCTATTTAAAGGTATCCAAAGAAGGAGCTTCCACCACACACCGAGGCAGAGAGTTCCACTTCTGAACAACCATTACAGTCAGGAAGTTCTTCCTAATGTTTAAGTGGAATCTCCTTTCCTGTAATTTGAACCGATTCCTCCGAATTCTGGTTTCTAGGGCAGCAGAAAACAAGCCTGCTCTCTCCTCCCTATGACACCCTTTCACATATTTATACATGGTGATCATGTTTTTTCTCAACCAGACCCAACTTTTTAAGATGCTCCTCATAGGGATTCATGGTCTCCAGACCTTTGACCACCTTGATTAGCATTTGATGGCCGGGCAGTTTTTGGTGTGGCTTGTTAGTGCCTGGGGCAATCTTTTGTTGAGAGGTGATTAGCTGTCCCTGATTGTTTCCTCTCTGTTGTTTTGCTGTTGTAATTTTAGTTTTTTAATACTGGTAGTCAGATCCTGTTCATTTTCATGGTTTCCTCCCTTCTGCCGAAATTGTCCACATGCTTATGGCTTTCAATGGCTTCTCTGTGTAGTCCGACATGGTGGCTGCTAGAGAGGTCCAGTATTTCTGCGTTCTCAAATAATATGCTGTGTCCAGAGAAGCCATTGAAATCCATAAGCATGTGGACAATTTTGGCAGAAGGGAGGAAACTATGAAGATGAAGGGATCTGGCTACCAGTATATAAAAAAAACCTCTAAAATTACAACAGCAAAACAACAGAGGGGAAACAATCAGGGACAGCTAACCAACTCTCAACAAATGATTCCCCCAGGCACTAACAAGCCAGGAGCCCCCGGTGGTGCAATGGGTTAAAGCCCTGTGCCGGCAGGACTGAAGACTGACAGGTCGCAGGTTCGAATCCGGGGAGAGGAGGATTAGCTCCCTCTATCAGCTCCAGCTCCTCATGCGGGGACATGAGAGAAGCCTCCCACAAGGATGATAAAAACATCAAATCATCCGGGCGTCCCCTGGGCAACGTCCTTGCAGATGGCCAATTCTCTCACACCAGAAGCGACTTGCAGTTTCTCAAGTCACTCCTGACACGACAAAAAACTAAAAACTAACAAGCCACACCAAAAAACTGCCAGGCCATCAAATGCTAATCAAGGTGGTCAGTTGAAACATTCACACCTAGCTATAACAGACAAGAGTTCTTTGTCCCACCCTGTTCATTCCACAGATATATAAACCCAATTTTCCTAGTTCCAACAGACCTCACTACCTCTGAGAATGCTTGCCATAGATGCAGGCGAAACTACCAGGCCATCAAATGCGAATCAAGGTGGCCAATTGAAACATTCACACCTAGCTACAACAGACAAGAGTTCTTTGTCCCACCCTGGTCATTCCAGATATATAAACCCATTTTTCCTAGTTCCAACAGACCTCACTACCTCTGAAGATGCTTGCCATAGATGCAGGCGAAACGTCAGGAGAGAATGCCTGTAGAACATGGCCATATAGCCCGAAAAAAAACTATAAGAACCTAAAGCCCTTTTTTTGTAAACATGCATAAGAATGTGGGGAAGGAATACTTCAGCCTAATCCTATCTCTAGCTCCTCATTGTGGACTGGAGACTTGATGAGACAAGAGACTTTGAGTTGGATTAAATGAGTCTACACTGCCAAAGCAGATGATCTGGATGTTCTATGTCAGTGTGGAAAGGGCCTTTGTAGCCTTCTCTGCCATCAAATCCTAATCAAGGTGGTCAGTTGAAACATTCATACCTAGCTCCAACAGACAAGAGTTTTTTGTCCCACCCTGGTCAAACTCGCCTGGCCAAACTCCCCCTGATGCCAAACTGCATGAACCGGACAGTGTGTGGCTGCAGCTCCCTCCCTTCACTTCCCTCCCTTCACTGCTGCTGCTTCTTCCGCCCACGAGCCTCCCACGCGCCACTGAGGCAGAGCAGCAGCAGCACAAGCAACGCGGAGCCATTGTAAATCCGGCGGCGTGGGAGGCAGCTCCGTGCCAAAGGCTGAGCGCACAGAGAGAGGGAGGGAGGGAGAGGCGAGGAGGAGGAGGAGGAGGAAGAAGGAGAAGGGGAGGAGGAGGGAAGGAAGGAAGGAAGGAAGAGCAGAGAGAGCGATTGAGAAAGAGAGAGATCGAGAGAGAGCTTCCACGGACAGAAGAGGGGACCAAAAGCGGCGTCGGATGCCTTGCGCCCTCGGCGAGAAGAGCAAGAGGAAGGCGCCTCCTGCAGGGCGAGCCAACCCCTTGGCCCATGCCCCACCCGCGGCCTCGGAAGGGAGCCACGCAAGAAACCCGTGAGTGCCTTGGGGAGGAGGGGGAAGGGAGAGCGAGTCAGGACACCCCTCTACACGGTGGAACTGATGCGGTTCCACACCGCTTGAGCTGCCCTGGCTCCATGCAAAGGCATCACAGGAGTTCTCTCCTCCTCTGGGGCTGATCGGCCCTATATCCCAGCATCGGATCCCAAATTTTCTCCTTTAAACCGGATTATGTGAATCCACACTGCCAGATAATCTGGGTTAAGAAAAAACTCTCTCCCAGGATCAGATCCTGCGATAGAGGGCCTGTCTGGAAGGGCTCTAAATTATTTGAGTCCACACTGCCAGATAATCCAGTTCAGTGTGGATTTTATACAGCTGTGTAGAAGGGGCTTAAGCAATGCAAGAGGAAGACAGTTAAACAAAACTGTGTGTATATATATGTGTGTGTGTTTGTGAATATATATATATATACACAAATATAAATAAACATGTAATGTTCGTTTGTGGGATTAACAGAACTCAAAAACCACTGGACAAATTGACACCAAATTTGGACACCAGACAACTAACAACCCAATGTATGTCCTTCGCTCCAAAAAATTGATTTTTTTCATTTGGGAGTTGTAGTTGCTGGGGTTTATAGTTCACCCACAATCAAAGAGCATTCTGAACCCCACCAATGATGGAATTGAACCAAACTTGGCACACAGAACTCCCATGACCAACAGAAAATACTGGAAGGGTTTGGTGGGCAGTGTCCTTTGGTTTTGGAGTTGTAGTTCACCTACATCCAGGGATCACTATGGACTCAAACAATGATGGATCTGGACCAAACTCTACACAAATACTCAATATGCCCAAATGTGAACACTGGTGGAGTTTGGGGAAAATAGAATCTTGACATTTGGGAGTTGTAATTGCTGGGATTTGTAGTTCACCTACAATCATAGAGCATTCTGAACCCCACCAATGATAGAATTGGGCCAAACCTCCCACACAGAACCACCATGACCACCAGAGTGGGCCACAGCAACGCTTGGCAGGGGACAGCTAGTGTATATATATATTTGGGTGTGTGTATAGTCATGCCGGCCACATGACCTTGGAGGTGTCTACGGATAACGCCGGCTCTTTGGCTTAGAAATAGAGATGACCACCACAGCCCAGAGTTGGACACAATTAGATTTAATGTCAGGGGAAAACCTTTACCCCCCCCCCCTCTCTATGTATGGGATGTGGTTTCACCCCTTTTTTGGAAGCCACGCCTCCAGAGACAAGCAGCCTTTGCTTCCTTCCTCTATATAACCCTTGGGAGGAATTATGCTTCAAGGATGGATTCTGTACATGCTCAGAGACACTCCCATCTTCAAGTTGCTGTGAGATTTCTGGGCTATATGGCCATGTTCCAGAAGCATTCTCTCCTGACGTTTTGCCCACATCTTTGGCAGGCATCCTTAGAAGTTGAGGTGTCTGTTGGAAACTGGGCAAGTGGGGTTTATATATCTGTGGAATAATGTCCAGGGTGGGAGAAAGAAGTCTCTGTTTGAGGCAATTGTGACTGTTACCACTGGCCACCTTGATTAGCTTTTAATCACCTTGCAGCTTCAAAGTCTGTCTGCTTCCTGCCTGGGGGAATCCTTTGTTGGGAGGTGATTAGCTGCCCCTGCTTGTTTCTTGTCTGGAATTCCTCTGTTTTCTGAGTGTTGTTCTTTATTTGTCCCGTCGATACCTTCCATAGATGTCAGGATTAGGGCCATACAGCCCGGAAAACTCACAGCAACTCAGTGATTCGGACCATGAAAGCCTTCGACAACACACTCTCATCTTCCCTGATTTTCAGTACAGGGAGCCCCCGGTAGTGCAGTGGGTTAAACCCCTGTGCCTGCAGGACTGAAAACCGACAAGTCACAGGATCGAACCAGGGGAGAGCGCGGATGAGCTCCCTCTATCAGCTCCAGCTCCTCATGCAGGGACATGAGAGATGGTAACACATCAAAACATCCAGGCGTTCCCTGGGCAACGTCCTTTCAGACTGCCAATTCTCTCACACTAGAAGCGACTTGCAGTTTCTCAAGTTACTCCTGACACACACACACACAAAAGTACAGGGCTGTAAATGGGCAACCCTAAACCTGTCATGCATGGATACCTATCCACAAATGCATGGATACCTATCCACATTATTTTTACCTACTAATGTTTCATATGACCTGGCTATAGATGTATGTCAAATTGATGTGAACACTAAACATTTACTGAGGCTGGATGTCCATCTGTCAGGGGTGCTTTAATTGTGCTTTTCCTGCATGGCAAGGAGTTGGACTAGATGACCCATGTGGTCTCTTCCAACTCTACGATTCTGTGATAAAATCTGCATTTGCAAGGCTTACTAAGGAGGCTGAGTTGCCCTTTTTATGATGTACAACTGAAGCATCTTCTGCAGAGTCCACTGTAAACACTGCACATTGTTGCTAATAGAACACTATTTTTTAAACTGTAGGTCCTGATCCCAAATAGGAACCCCTTAGTTCAGTGTTGGAATCACACAAAAATGGGCAACAGCGAAACATATCTGAACCATGTGCAATGTTTACAACAATGTGCAGTGTTTACAGTTGGGCTGGTTGTGCAGAAAATGATTCAGCTGTACTCCAAAAAAAAGGAAAGTCAGTGCTGTAAATTAGTGATTCTCAACCTATGGTCCTCCCAGTTGTTTTGGATTCAACTCCCAGAAATCCTAGCCATCTTACCAGGTGTTAGGAATTGTAGGAACTGAAGTCCAAGGCTGAATCTATACTGCCCTATATTCCAGGATCTAATCTCAGGTTATCTGTGTATCCCAGATTATTTGTCAGTGTAGACTCATATAATCCAATTCAAAGCAGATAATTGGGATCAGATCCTGGGATATAGGGCAGTGTAGATCCAGACCAAAATACCAGGAGGACCAAAGATTGGGAAGCACTGCTCTTGATAGTTTTGCAACTCCCATCATTCTTTATTAGCTCTCCTGGCTGCTGAGACTTGCAACTTCATGGCACCTGAAGGGCAACATTTTTCCCACTCCAGTCCAGCAGGCTCCTCCCTGTTCAGATGTGAATTTACTTTGCTGTATCATTTCCAAATATGGTTTTGGGAACATGTGCCATTCTCTTGAACAGGGCCACAGAATTCTGCCCCTAAAGCCCTCCTAAAGCATTTTGGCAAGCATGATATTCAATGGTGAGAGGAAAGGCAATGATGGGAGTGGGATGCTGCCTTCCCTGTCTCTTACAAACCAGCACCTAAAGCATTGCTTCTCAACCTTCTTAATGCCGCAACCCCTTAATAGAGTTCCTCATGTTGTGGTGACCCCCAACCATAAAAATATTTTCGTTGCTACTTCATAATGGTAATTTTGCTACTGTTATGAATCATGTAAATATCTGATATGCAGGATCTATTTTCATTCACTGGTCCAAATTTGGCACAAATATCCAATACGCCCAAATGGTAATACTGGTGGGGTTGGGAAGGATTGATTTTGTCATTTGGATGTTGTAGTTCCTGGGATTTCTAGTTCACCTACAATCAAAGAGCATTCTGAACTCCACCAATGATGGAGTTGAACCAAACTTGGCACACAGAACTTCCATGACCAACAGAAAATACTGGAAGGGTTTGGTGCGCATTGATCTTGAGTTTTGGAGTTGTAGTTCACCTACATCCAGACAGCACTGTACACTCAAACAATGATGGATCTGGACCAAACTTGGCACGAATACTCAATATGCCCAAATGTGAACACTGGTGGAGTTTGGAGGAAAATAGACCTTGACATTTGCAAGTTGTAGTTACTGGGGTTTATAGTTCACCTACAATCAAAAGCATTCTGAATCCCACCAATGATAGAATTGGGCCAAACTTCCAACACACAACCCCCATGACTAACAGAAAATGCTGTGTTTTCTGATAGTCTTTGGTGGCCCCTCTGACACCCCCTGGCGACCCCCAAGGGGTCTTGACCTCCAGGTTGAGAAACGCTGACCTACAGGTTATGTTACACACAGAGATATGCACACATCCACATGTGCCAGCTGAACTGCTGACCGGAAGGTCGGTGCTTCAAATCTGGGATCAGAGTGAGCTCCCAACTGTCAGGTCCAGCTTCCCATGCAGGGAAATGAGAGAAGCGTCCCCTGGGCAACATCTCTGCAGATAGCCAGTTCTCTCACACCAGAAGCAACTTGCAGTTTCTCAAGTCGCTTCTGACAGAATAAAAAAAAATACTCATCTTTCCTCTTGTAATGCTTTCTTCCAGGGGGAAAAAAAGAGGCATGGGAAGGCCATTTTGCACTGCTGAGAAGTATGCAAGGGGCATCACCTGCACCCACACCATGCCTACTCCACTACTGATATGGCAGACCTGGAGAGTTGTTTGCCACCAAAACCAGTGAGGAGGGAGGGTCACTATCTGGAAGGCTGCTGGCTCTCTGCTCCTGTTTTGCAGCTCAGGCGGGGAAAAGAAAGCAGTCAGCACAAGGGCGGATAAAGAAAGAACAAACTGTGGGTGTGTGGAGGAGTGTGGTATGTGCGCCTGTGCTGGATAGGAGGCCAGGCCAGGGATGTGGCAGGCTTTTCATTTGCAGAGAAGATCCACATTGGTGTGTGTCCACAAAGCTGATGCATTTTAATGCAAGTGGAAAGAGATGCATTGGTAGACAACAAAGTAGTTGAGAGAACTGGTTGTCGTTTAAATATTGGGCTTGTTGTGTACCTCAAGGTTGTTTATTATGTACAACGACCCTCAGATGAGCCCTTTCTTAGCAAGTTTGCCATTGCCTTTCTCTGAGGGTGACTTTTTGCCAAGGGCCATCCAATGAATTTTCATGCCTGAGCAGTGATTTGAACCCTTATCTCTCACAGTCCTGCTCCATTACTCAAAGCCTTGTATCCCACTATCTCTTGAGTTTCACTGGTATCATATAGATTGGGTATCAATATAAGTTGTTAAAGGTTTCCACACTTTGCAGATTACAGTAACGAGAGCTGAAGACATAGAAGAGAGGAGTGAAGCCTGTCTTTTGAGAGAAAGGGTTACTGTTGAAAGAGAGGGGGGTCACCATGAGCTGCACTGCAAGATAGGTCGTATGCCTTTGGCAGATCCCATCCTTTTTGGTTGTTTTACTGTATTCCTAAATGGGGAGGAGGAGGAGGGGAAGAAGCAATAGTAATACAGCTGTCCATCTACATTTGCAGTTTTGACTTCTCCTGATTTGATGATTCATGGATTTGATTAAAACGTTCTCTCTATCAAATAAAATCTAGCTCCACCGTGACTCTATGACCAAAATCCACCGTGACTCTATGACCTAGGGCCCTTCCACACAGCCCTATATCACAGAATATCAAGGCAGAAAATCCCACAATATCTGCTTTGAACTGGGCTGTCTGAGTCCACACTGCCATATATTCCAGTTCAAAGCAGATAATGTGGGATTTAATTCAGCTGTGTGGAAGGGGCCCTAGACATTTCTAAAGAGATGCAATTCTATGGTCAGTTTCCAGGAGAAGTTGATCATAGAGTCATGCTGGAAAACCACAAAATTCCTATAGAACTGTCCTGTCAAGTAGAAAAATAACAATTTCCTTTTCTGTGGTTTTACTTTCACGGGGGTCTTGTACCACTAATCCTAGTGAACATGAAGGGCTGGCTATAGTGTGGTATCAATAGCAAGACGATATTGCTATAGAGCAGGCATGGACAAACTTTGTCCTTCCAGGTGTTTTGGACTTCAACTCCCACAATTCCTAACTGCCTTGCCTACTGGCTGTTAGGAATTGTAGGAAGTCCAAAACACCCGGAGGGTCAAAGCTTGCCCATGTCTGCTATAGGGAGTTACCTGTGCAAAATGTCATGCTGATGTTTTCAACACTTACTAAGAATAAACAAAGTATTGATCATTTGCAGAGTTGCACATCAACATGGAGAAAGGATGATGTGTAAGTTTGGGCTTTCATTGCACTGAGAAGATTGCGATGTTGCAGGATATATTTGGAGGATGTTTATGCAGTAAGATGCACCATGATAAAGAAAACTCAACATTGTATCTATTTCTTTGATAAAGACTTAAGAGCAGAGGAGAGGGCCCTTTAGTCCACACAATGCTGTCAGTCATGCACACAGCTGAATTAAATCCCACATTATCTGCTTTGAACTAGAATATATGGCAGTGTGGACTCAGAAAACCCAGTTCAAAGCAGATATTGTGGGATTTTCTGCATTGATATTCTGGGTTATAGGGCTGTGAGGAAGGGCCTTCTGTTGGCTCAAGGAAGCCCACAAGTAGGACATTAATACAACAGCTACTCCACCCCACATTCATCAGAAATTGATTTACTTATTGCAGGTGTTGCGTTCCAGGACCACCCACGATAAGTGAAGTTCTGCGAAGTAGGGATGCCCCTTTCCCTTCCCTCCTTACCCTCTTTACCTTCCTCTTGCTCCTTCTCATCGCCACCTGGGCCTCTTGCCACCACTCAGGTCCCGTGATGCCTCCGCCGCCTCCTCAATCGCGGGGCCCAAGCGGCAGCAAGAGGCCCAGGCGGCTATGAGGAGGAGCAAGAGGAAGGTAAATAGGGTGAGGAGGCAGCTCTTCTTCCTCCTCACCCTCTTTACCTTCCTCTTGAACTTCCTCATGGTTGCCTGGGTCTCTTGCTGCAGCTTGGGCCCCACGATGCCTCCATGACCTCCTCAGTTGCAGGGCCCAAGCGGTGGCAAGAGGCCCAGGTGGTGACAAGGAGGAGGAAGAAGAAGAGGGCGAGGGGGTGGCTCTTCTTCCCTCCTCACCACCGGAGGGAAGAAGAAGTTGGGCAAGAGGCCCAAACAGCGATGAGGTACTTCTCTCTCTTTTCACTCAGTGTTCCCTCATTACTTAATTAAAAAAACCGCAAAACAGCAAGTCCGTGATAAGCGAACCGTAAAGTAGTGAGGGACCACTGTACAGTGGTTTAGTGCCTCAGATATTGGCACTAACATACAGCTGTTAGAACTCCATAACCATGGATAACATACCATGATTTCCGATAAGGAATCCAGAATAAAAGACGACTCCTGCATCCATGTTCACAGTCAACAATACAGATTTAGAATCATTTATAACCATAGTCATTATGTTTTCATAGTCTGGCAAGGAAACTCTATGTAAGTCTGCTTTGGTGTGGACAACTTGTAGATCTCTACATGATGTTCGACTACAATTTCCATGATTATTCACTGTGCTGGCTAAGGATGATGAAGGTTGTAACCTACATGTTTTGGAGGGATATATGTTGCGCACCATTCTCTGGCCTTTCCACCAAGCTTTCACACAAATAAATGATGTTTGTTTTCTCCACGCATTTGTGTTCTCATCCATTGTATGGGATCCCTGCAGAGAAACATCAGCATGAATCAGCCACATAAATAGCAAACACCCCCTTATTTAGGCCAATTGAATTACTGAAATAGTCACACTTATCCTCATGTGAGGAGGCATGTATGCAGGTAAGCAACCAGTTATTTGGGGAAAGCCACACCAATTTTTTCTCCTCCCTGGCCTTTTCTCAATCTGCACAATATGTAAAAATGGACATTGTTGTGAAGCACCACTTACAAAGACAAGCTTTCACTTCCATCTCTGTGGTCTATTTTTTTCCTTCACTATGGTGGGTGCGTGTATGAAGTAGGTTATGCCACACCTCTGCTGCTTCCACCATCTCAGTGTTTCCCCTGTTACCTCCGCAGGCTGCCGGTGATGGCCTTGTCCCTGCCACGTACCTTGGGCGAACTCCAGCTGTACCGGGTGTTGCAGCGGGCCAACCTCCTCTCCTACTATGAGACCTTCATTCAGCAGGGTGGGGATGACGTGCAGCAGCTGTGTGAGGCGGGCGAGGAGGAGTTCCTGGAAATCATGGCTCTCGTCGGGATGGCAACCAAGCCGCTCCATGTCCGGCGCCTCCAGAAAGCCTTGCGGGAATGGGCCACCAACCCAGGGCTCTTCAATCAGCCGGTGCCATCCATCCCTGTAAGCAGTATCCCACTCTTCAAGATCTCCGAGTCAGGAGGGCGCAAGTCGCTTACCAATGGGCACACCAGCCCAGGAGAGATCCCCGGCAAAGCCAATGCGGAGACCCTTTCCAAGAGCCCCTCTGAGCCGAGAGAGAAGCTGTCCCCCTTGCCGATGATTCAGTGGGGCAACACAGAGTCAGAAGAGGAAGGGGGGTCAACATCACCAGGTGAACATCCCTCACCTGCAGAGCATCTAGACTCAGAACTGGCCCAGGCAATATCGGAGGGTGTGGATCGCCTTCTGCGTAGCTGCCCCCGTGGCGCTGATACGGAGCTGAGGACCCTCATGAAGCTGAACAAAAAGCTGGCGAAAACTGTGGGCCATATCTTCCAGATGGACAGTGGGGATCCTCGCAAGGAGGAAGAGATCCGGCGCCACAGTGCCATCTATGGACGAGGGGAGGCCCGGCGATGTGAGGGCAAGCAGCTGACACTTCATGAGGTGAGTCAACAGGCTGGAGAGAAAGGATTTGCTCAGCGAGTGTGAACGGAGAGAGACTAGAGGTTATATTACTTTAAACTAAGGAGGAATAAAATAAAATATCACAGTCTGCCATCTAAGGTTGCCAGATTGAAAGAGATCTTGTATTTTTAATAGTTCTGCAGAAAAGCAAATTTTAGCAGGTATTGTTTCTGATGCTATCAGGTAAGAGGCAGTATCTGTGGAAATTTCATATTCTACACAACCCTTAAAGATACAGGAGTCCTCTCTACTTTTCACTTTGGCAACCCTATTGCCACCACAAATGTAAAATAACCAATATCAATTAAAAGTAAAGGTAAAGGTTTCCCCTTGACATTAAGTCTAGTCATGTCCGACACTGGGGGTTGGTGCTCATCTCCATTTCTAAGCCGAAGAGCAGCATTGTCCGTAGACACCTCTAAGGTCATGTGACCAGCATGACTGCATGGAGCACCGTTACCTTCCCACCTGAGCGATCCCTATTGATCTACTCACATTTGCATTTTTCAAACTGCTAAGTTGGCAGAAACTGGGCATAACAGTGGGAGCACACCCTGCTCCCCAGATTTGAACCACTGACCTTCTGGTCTGGAAGTTCAGCAGCTCAGCGGTTTAACCTGCTACACTACTGGGGGCTTTTTAAAAATGTGAATGGTTCTGGGATAACTGCCTGTTTGGAACCGCCCTAAGTGTTGGGTTTTATGTGCTGGAAAAGGGCAGCTTTTCCAACAGAAAGAACAAGAATGAATAATTCTCATTACAGTAGGGAAAATGCATTATTTAGAAAAGTATTTTACTTCTTTCAGGCATCCTCAAAATCTTTTTTGCCAGGCATTCTTTTTCCATCCTCCTCCTTTTCTGTGCAGTTTGACCTGCTATTGTCTTACACAAACTTTAACTTATTCACTTATATAGCCTGAAAGTTAATGTGATGCAGAGTGTTGGACTTGGCAGATTCAAGATGAATTCCCCACTGAGAAATAAAACTTTCAGGGTGACTATAGGTCATTTACTCACACTTTCAACCTGACCTTTCTGACTGGGTTGCAGTGGGGATAAAGGAAAGGAGAGCCAAATGCAACACCTTGAAGTCATTGGAGGAAAGGAGAATCATAAATGTAGTTGGAATTCAGTACAGTACAAAAAAAGGAAAAGATTTTCTAAAAGGTAAAAATAAGAAGAAAAAAGAGGAATGCCTTTGTGGTTGTGTATTTTCAAGTTGGAGCTCCTGGTGATGCAATGGATGAAGCCCTTGTGCCGGCAGGACTGCTGACATACAAGTCAGCAGTTCAAATCTGGGGAGAGTGGGTTGAGCTCCCTCTGTCAGCTCTAATTCCCCAAGCAAGGACGTGAAAGAAGCCTCCCACAAGGATGGTAAAACATCAAATATCCTGGTGTCCCCTGGGCAACATCCTTGGAGACAGCCAATTCTCTCCTTGCAGATGGCCAGTTCTCACACCAGAAGTTTTTCAAGTGGCTCCTGACACACACAGACACACACACACAAATCTTCAAGTTGACTAACTCCAACATACAGTGACTCTGGCGGGATTTGGGGAGAGGACTTTGCCATTTCCTGCTTCAAGTATCCAATGTCCCGCTATCAAGTCCCAGTGGCTAAGGTCAGCCATTGAGACTTAATATCTGAGCGGGAATTTGAATCCTGGTCTGAAGTTGTAACCCAACATGCAAATCACTACATTACGCTGGCTCCAGGAAGTGCAAAAGATATAGCAATGACCTCAACATGTACTTTAAAGAGTCACAGCCTGGTGTCATGGTTGAAGCATTAAAATAGGATTCAAGTCCAGGGTTCAAATCCTTGCTCAGCTATGGGGAACAGATCTCACACGAAAGAAACCTTAGGGTCACCATAAGTTGAAAAAAACTTGGAAGGCATGTAGCAGCAACAGAATAATGTTTCACAATCGAAGCTGACCCTATGGCAATGCATTTTCTTGTAATTAACAACCAATGCAATAATATTTTTAAAAATAAATGAAATAGTTGCATTTATTTCTTAAGCAATCTTCTCTTTCCCACACTGTAGCTTCATTGCCATGCTGTTCTTGTGGAGCCCCGGGAGAGTGTGTATGTTTCTAACTGCTGTGACCCTCCCATCCATTCCCCCAAAGAGTCACTCTGTTCTCTCTCTTCCTTCAGCTGACCATCAATGAGGCTGCGGCCCAGTTCTGCCTCCGGGACAATTCATTGCTGCTGCGTCGCGTGGAACTCTTCTCACTGTCACGTCAGGTGGCTCGAGAGAGCAGCTATCTCTCTTCCCTTAAGGGATCCAGGTGAGAAAACCAAAACCTTAAGCTCTTCCTAGTGAAACATTCTTTCTGGTGATTCATTCATACTTAAAAAAAGAAACGTTCTTGCATCTATGTTGAGAAAATGTATTTAGCCGAAAAGATCGACATTCTGTCCTCCTTTCTGCTTGCAACCACTCCAACCCTCTGTTCTTTCTAGACTAGTGGGATGGTGGCTGAACAGTTTGAGAACTTATTGGACAGCAAAAGAAATGCACCTCACATAACACTTTAATCTATTTTCACCTGGTATCTTGTTTGAGCCTTGAAAACTGATGTCCTAATAAACTAACACAGGGTTGCTGTGAGTTTTCCAGGCTGTATGGCCATGTTCCATAAGCATCCTCTTCTCGAGTTTCACCCACACCTGTGGCAGGCATCCTCAGAGGTTGAGAGGTCAGTTGGAAACTAGGCAAGTGAGGTTTATAAACAACTAACATTGTTTAACAGTGGAATATGCTCCTTCAGAATATGGTGGAGCCTTCTTCTCTGATTGTGTATTCCTGCATGGCAGGGAGATGGGCTGGATGGCCCTTGGAGTCTCTTCCAATAATAATAATAATAATAATAATAATAATAATAATAATAATAATTATTATTATTATTATTATTATTTTAAAAAGACTGGTGGGATCACAAGCCAGAAAAAGTTACAGAGAATGAACACGCCAAACTCCTCTGGGACTTCTGAATTCAGACAGACAGAGTTCTGGAGCACAACACTCCTGACCTCACAATTGTGTTAAAAAACAAAGTATGGATCGGTGATATCGCAATCCCAGGTGACAACAGGATTGCAGAGAAATAAAGCTGATGCGATATGAGGATTTAAAGATCGAACTGCAAAGACACTGGCACAAGCCAGTGAAGGTAGTCCCAGTGGTGATCGGTGCAGTGCCTAAAGACCTTGGCCTGCACTTAAACACAATCAGCGCTGACAAAATTACCATCTGCCAGCTGCAGAAGGCCACCTTACTGGGATCTGCACGCATTATTTGCCAATACATCACACAGTCCTAGACACTTGGGAAGTGTCCGACGTGTGATCCAATACAACAGCCAGCAGAGTGTCTACTGTGGACTCATCTTGTTGTGTTTCTAATAATAATAATAAAACTTTATTTATATACCACCGTATCTCCCCTAGGGGACTCAGAGCAGTTTCCACATATGCAAAATAATACAAAAACATACAATATAAAACAAAAACATAGGCATAAACTGGGTCTGTGAAAGTTATCTGTCTGTACTCATTATCTCTTTAAAGACTGATAATTTCTTCTTCCCTGATTCATCAAATAGCAAATCAAATTACACATCCAAGAAACTGGCTTTGCTTTCCTTTACAAACATAACAAGGAACAGTTCTATATTAAATAAACAATTTTGCACAAACCATAGAGTTGCACACTTTCGCCATTTCTTTTCCCTTCTGCTCTGCGTAAACCAAGAAGAGATAGAAAACTGTTGTCACTTTTGAATTAACCACAGTTCCGTGCTACCTCTGAATTTCAGAGGCTGTTGTTTTTGAAACTACTACTATTTAATGAATTGTCGGAGGCTTTCATGCCCAGAATCACTGGGTTGCTGTGAGTTTTCGGAGCTGTATGTAAGGACATAGCCAGAGGGCGGGGGGGGGGGGGGGGGGTTAAAAGTTCAACCCTGCCCTGAAATGTGTCAGGTTAAAAAAGAAACCTGGTTTACTCATAAATTGGTTAACCAGTTAAAATTCATGAATAAACCGGTCCGGGGGGTGGGGTGGGTTAGTACCCTTAAACCCAGCCTGTATGGCTATGTACTAGAAGCTTCTGGAACATTGTCATATAGCCTGGAAAACTCACAGCAGCATACTAGTGTTTAGATTCTGGCTTATTTTAGCTACCTATGATTTGAGCAAACCAGCATTTCCCAAATTCAGTTGCAACAGGGGAATTAGATTAATTCAAAAATGAAGCTTTCTGTCTTTTTGGCCTGTTTTTGAGGCCCCATCTAGACTGCAATATAATTTAGTTTCAGGATGCATTGAACTGCATTATATGGCAGTGTAGACTCATTTAATCCAGTCCAATACAGTCTGCATTATATGAATCTACACTGACCATTATGATGCAGTTCAAACTACATTACATGGCAGTGTAGATGGGGCCTGAGTCTCAGGCTGGATATAAATGTAATTGGATTTTCATATAATTTAGTTTTAGAATACAGATTAACTGGATCTTGAGCACATTTTCATAATGATTTCCCATTGTGACTGAATTGGAATCCAAGAGTGGACAAAAACCAACTCTTGCAATATCAGCGTCCCCCAGCTCCTATGTATGTAACATCACCATGCTAATATCTACACAGTTTTTTTGTATGTGATAAATTTGCACTTGTGTGTGAAATGATCTAGTTATATGTAAGACTTGTGCAAAATTGCATGGGTAATTACTCTATCTGATAACATGTTTAAATCAGTTTGGAGTTTTATCCATTTGGCTTTCATTGTGGGCAGTCTAGGAGTTATCTTCTGAACATAACATCTTGTAGGGTGCTCTGACTCTTTGGTGCTTTTTGTCCTCAGGCTGCATCCAGAGGAGGGCGGTGGTGGGCAACCCAAGCGACTCAAGCAGGAGGTACGTTTCAGAGTCTTCTGGTGCTGCCATTTTCCCTGGCGATAATGGAAGCTCCATAATCTATTCTGTATGGGATGTGTCTGCTCATTGCAGCCTTCCTTCATCTGCAATCCTCTTGCATGTCAACTGTCATTATCTCTGCATCTTATCCTTCCGACAAAAACCCTTTCCTCTAAATTTACAACCCCTAGAAGTCTTCCCTCTATCACCATGCTCCAGTTCTGTTCAGAGACGTGGAAGTATACAAGATGATGCTGGCTCTGGGATTGTGGGTGTTGTGATTCCCCAAGGCACATTCTCCATTTCTGGAAATAGTTTTCACTTACAGCACAGAAAGATGAGATTGGTGACCAACTTCTGCCTCATGCTGTTGTTCATCCTCTCGGCAGGTCGTAGAGCAAAGCCGTCCAGATCTTCCCTTGGTCTGCGAACCTTTTCTTGCTCAGTACCGATCCAGCGTAGAGGAAGATACAGCCAGTTTGTCAGGGGAAAGCTTAGATGGACACCCACAAGGTGAGTCAACTGGACTCTTGATTTAAATCATCCAGCCACAGAGTGAAGTGAATCTGCTTTTCTGTGGCAGAAGAGACTGGAGAAAGGATTTGCATCCCACAGGCTTCTACATTCCCTTTCCCTCAGGACACCATTAGCACTCCACCTGTTTGCTTGCTTTTTTGCAGACCTGAAATGTGTTTTGACTTGTTTGGGAATATACTCTCTCCCACTTGCATACACAGAGTTCTGATCTGGTTTTCATTGTGTACTTTCCATTTTGTTCTTTTTGGAGGTCCTGTTTCTTCTCCCTTTCATGCATGCCTTTTCTGAACCTTTCAGACATACTGGATTTTTAAAAAATAATATCAAAATCTCCTCAGACTTATTGGCATTACTTAAAATGACTTTGCTCCCACAATGTTTTCTGTTGTCACTTTTTAACTCACAACAGTTCTGTGTTACTTCTGAATTTCAGAGGCGGTAGTTTTCAAACTATTATCACATTGCTTAGATTCTAGTTTGTTTTAGCTACCTGTGGTTTTAGCAAACCAGAATTTCCCAAATTCAGTTGCAACAGGGGAGTTAAATTAGTTCAAAAGTGGAAGCTTTCAGTCTTTCCAATGAGTTTCCGAGGCCCCATCTACTGCATTGAACTGCATTATATAGCAGTGTAGACTCACATAATGCAGTCCAATGCAATGAAACTGCATTATGCATGTTAAACTGCTAAGCTGCAGTACTTGCTGACCAGAAGGCCGGTGGTTCAAATCTACGGGATGAGGCAGGGTGAGCTCCCATTGTTTGCCCCACCTTCTACCAAAGTAGCAAATTCGAAAACATGCAAATGTGAGTAGATCAACAGGTACTTTTTTCGTGTCAGGAGTGATTTGAAAAACTGCAAGTTGCTTCTGGTGTGAGAGAATTGGCCGTCTGTAAGGACGTTGCCCAGATGTTTGATGTTTTACCATCCTTGTGGGAGGCTTCTTTCATGTCCCCGTATGGAGAGCTGGAGCTGACAGAGGGAGCTCATCCATGCTCTCCCCGGATTCGAACCTATGACCTGTCGGTCTTCAGTTCTGCCTGCACAAGGGTTTAACCTGAGATTGCTCTGAGATTGTAGGGGCTCCCCAACAGGTACTGCTTCAGTGGGAAGGTAACAGCGCTTCATTCAGTCATGCTGGCCAAATGACCTAGGAAGCATCTACAGAAAATGCCGGCTCTTTAGCTTAGAAATGGAGATGTGTACCACCCCCCCCCCCAAAGTCGGACTCCACCTTTACTATTAATCTTCATTATATAGTAGTATAGAGGGAGCTGGGAGTTATCAATTCTTGAAAGTAATTTTGATAATGCTCCCAGCAGTTTCGTATGTAGAGGGACATAGAGCCAGAGAAACTGAAGACAAATACATTCATACAGGACCAGATGGGAGCACAGCTGTATGCTGTCTGATCCTGTCTTAAATGATTCAGAAGTCACAGTGATTGGTGTCCGTTTGGAGACAAGACCAAATTTGTGGCAGTGTATTAGCTTTGTGAGGGCACAAAGCAGACTGTACAAAATACATTCATCTGGATGTTCTTTGGACTTTACTCTCACATCAGCCCTCGACTATGTAATCAGTAGTGAGGAATGCTGGGATTGTAGTCATTAAAGCTAGCCCCCTTCCATACAGATGAGTAACATCCCATAGTATCTGCTTTGAATTGCAATATATGGCAGCGTGGACTCAGATAACCCAGTTCAAAGCAGATATTATAGGATTTTCTGCCTTGATATTCTGGGTTATATGGCTGTGTGGAAGGGCCCTTAGAATCCTATACTCAGAGATTGAGGCATGTCCTACTTATTGGGACTTGATCCCAAACAGGCACATTTAGGATTGCAGTGTGAAATATAATTAATTACATTTGGCTGTTTCCACATAATCTGGCTATGGTTTTCAATTGGTATCTGTCATTTAGCATTGCTACAGCTCACTCTGTTTTGACAAGTGTGAAGCTCTGCCTGTCCCAGCATGAAATAGTCCTTCCTGATGTCCTCATTTTGAGGCATCAACCAGACAAGGCGGCATCCTTGATTGGGATCTCTTTGCTGGGGAGGTGCCTGAAAGCTGGTGTAATACGTCAAACTAAAAGGCAGCTCAGCTACATCCACACAGCGGTTTTTCAATTATATTTGAAAATGCCTATGACATATTTATTTACTAGCCATCCCCTGCCACTCGTTGCTATGGCTCACTCTGGTGATCATGGGGGTTCTGTGTGGGAGGTTTGGTCCAATTCTATTGTTGGTGGGGTTCAGAATGCTCTGTGATTGTAGGTAAACTACAAATCCCAGCAACTACAACTCCCAAATGTCAAGATTCTATTTTCCCCAAACTCCACCAGTGTTCACATTTGGGCATATTGAGTATTCATGTAGAGTTTGGTCCAGATCCGTCATTGTTTGAGTCCACAGTGCTCTCTGGATGTAGGTGAACTACAGCTCCAAAACTAAAGGACACTGCCCACCAAACCCTTCCAGAATTTTCTGTTGGTCATGGGAGAACTGTGTGCCAAGTTTGGTTCAATTCCATCGTTGGTGGGGTTCGGAATGCTCTTTGATTGTAGGTGGATTATAAATCCCAGCAACTACAACTCCCAAATGACAAAATCGATTTTTTTAGTGAAGGACATACATTGGGTTGTTAAGTGTTTGGTGTCCAAATTTGGTGTCAATTCATCCAGTGGTTTTTGAGTTCTGTTAATCCCACAAACGAACATTACATTTTTATTTATATAGATTTATTTACAGTATTGATATTCCACTCTTCTCACCCTGCAGGGGACTCAGTGCGGATTACAATGCACATATGCATGGCAAACATTCAATGCCATTTAGACATACAACATATATAGACAGACACGGAGGCGATTTAACATTCCAGCTTTCCAGCTTCATGAGGGTATGCTCGGTTCCAGCCACAGGGGGAGCTGCTGCTTCACCGTCCACTTTTGGCACAGAGTGTTTTATGGAATACTTCCTCATTCTTGCACATGCTGCTGGAAGGTTTTTTTTTTTTTTAGAATTTTTATTGATTTATCACATTTATTACACACTATTGCATTTTGTACATCAGCCTCTTTAACATGTTGTTTTGTTGTTTTGCTTTGACATTTCCCCCCCTTTTTCTCTTTTTCCCCCCTTTTTTCCACCACAGTGCTCCCCTCCACCCGTCTCAAGCCACCATTCTTACATTTCATCTGTCCAAAATTTTATTGCTGGAAGGTTTTATGGTGTCATAAATTAGTTAAATTAGCCTCCCCGCATAAAGGGGGATCTAAATTTCCTATTTGGCAGGTGCAACTGTCTTTCGGGCTGCATAGGTCAACAGCAAGCTAGACTATTAATTATCAGGAGCTCACTCTGACCCGAGCTGGCTTTGAACTCATGACCTCTTGGCCAGTAGTGATTTAATGCAGCTGGCTATTAACTCCTCTGCTCCTTGAACTGTACATGGGTGAAGTGACTGCTTTTACCCAAACTCTGTTTCAGCAATTGCTACTGTAGAAGGAAAGGTGCTAGATACCACCCCCAGCTTGTGTGAATGGCTTAAGGTAGGGATGGGGAAAATGTATAGCCTTCTAAATGTTGGATTGCTAAAAGGCAGTATGGGAATGTATTTATAAATAAATACTTAAATAAAGAATCTTGGACGGCAAGTCTCACTAGACCTAGACAACATAACCAAGGATTAGTGGTGGAGGGGAGTTATTGTCCAAAAAAATCTAGAGGGCCATAGGTTTCCTGTAGTTGTTTTAAGCACCGATAGCAACTTGTAGTAGCTAGAGAATATTAGAGAATGTTCTGCAGTATAGCAGAAGGAAGGAAAGTAAAACAAGGAGTAATAATTCCTAATTGAAGGCAACACAATAAAACTTTGCATGAAGCACATATCTTTTAAGAAAGCAGTATACTGTTAAATGTTTTCTAAATTGTTGAAATATGGAATGTCTAATATAAGGAGTTCCTGGTGGCACAGCAGATTAAACCAGGTTAAACCGCTAAGCTGCTGAACTTGCTGACTGAAAGGATCAAGTCTGAGGAGTTGGGTTAGCTTCCATTCTTAGGCCCAGCCAACCTAGCATTTCAAAAACATGCAAATGTGAGTAGATCAATAGGTACTGCTTAGGTGGTAAGGTAAAGGTGCTCATGCAGTCATGCCAGTCACATGACCTTTGAGGTGTCTATGGACAATTCCAGCTCTTCAGTCTAGAAATGAAGATGAGCACCACGCCCCAGAGACGGACTCGACTCAACTTAATGTCAGGGGAAACCTTTACCTTTACCAATGCAAACTATACCTGGCTGATGTAGCCTACATGATTTCTTAAGATGGAAATTTGCTGCCTGGAGTAACTAGGTAGTCTTCACATTTAGGGAATATATACTGTGCCACTAGGAAAACCTGTTAAGTCAAGTATTTTGTCAGTTGTTGTTTCCATGTTGAGTCAAACTGGTTGAGTCATATGAAAGCTTTGTTGTCAAATTGAACCCTGTCTCAGGACAAATAGAAGGAAAGAAATGATTTTCCTCCCTTATATTCACACACAAATTGATTTGGGGGAAGAGGGCATGCCAACTGGGGGATCCTAGACAGCGTCATCCAAATAATTAGTTTTTTCAAGTTCTGGTATAGATATCTTTTGGGCAGCAGTTTAGCAATAATGGTTGAAAGGTCTGGAGGATATTGGGGCAGTTTGAGAAGAACCATGCTGCTGGATCAGTTCTTTTGGCCCTAAGTAATGGGAAATGCCTCCCTCTTGATCTCTTTTCTCCCCAGCCACAGGTTCCTGTCCCCGTCTGACACCACCTCCCAACACTGGTACTGATGCGCTTCTTAGCCTCCCACCCCATGGGCTGTGGAGCCGCCATATCCTGCAGCAGACTCTGATGGACGAAGGACTACGGTTGGCCCGGCTGGTCTCCCATGAGCGGCTAGGACGGCTCAGCCCATGCTTGCCAGGAAAGCCCCAGGTGCCAGGTAAGGGTCTGCTTTTCTTTCTTTCTTGACTGCCATCAAAGTCTGAGGGGCAACACAATTCTATGATAACCAAGGGAGACTTGCCTGTCAACACAGAAAAAGATAACATGGAGATGGGGACTCAAGGGTTGGAATTGAGAAGCGAGAAACTTGTGAAAACCAAAGTGTGCCTGCAGAGGAGAGAGAGCTTTTGGCTTCCTGGCTACTGCAGTCCACCATTACTGGTCAGCTCTGCTCAGCATAGCTATGTGGGAATTGTATGGCTAAATAGCTGAAGAGCTGACATCCTCCATTACTGTTGCTCAGAGAACCGCTGAATAGCTCAACTCCCCTCAGCATTTGATCATTGTTAGGAAAAACGGGAAAAAAACCTCGATTTGTCTCTACGAGAACCGCATCTGTGCATGAAGGCGGACCTGCAGGCGGATGTGGGAGGATTGCTCTCTGTTTAAAGCGATGTTGTTTTTGAAAAGGCTAGATGATTTGCATGGAACATGGGTTGGCGCCAGACTCATCAACTTACCACTCCAAGAGCTTGCAATTAATTGTTGCCGAGGAAACTGAAATCCTAGAGAAAGGCAAGGAGGCCATTGTATATAGTTCAGGGATAACGAGCTTTATAAAAATGTAGAATGCACTGTATTTTTAAGCCTGACCCTGCAGAAATAGCAGGTTGTTTCCTCTGTGGCCAGGAGCCCCCAGTGGTGCAGTGGGTTAAACTGCTGAGCTGCTGAACTTGCTGACTGAAAGGTTGGTGGTTCGAATCTGGGAAGTGGGGCGAGCTCCCGCTGTTAGCCCCAGCTTCTGCTAACTTAGCAGTTCAAAAACATGCAAATGTGAGTAGATCAATAGTTACCACTTCTACAGGAAGGTAACGGCACCCCATGCATTCATGCCGGCCACATGACCTTGGAGGTGTCTATGGAAATGCTGGCTCTTCAGCTTAGAAATTGAGATGAGCACAACCCCGCAGAGCTGGACACAACTAGACTTAATGTCAAGGGGAAACCTTTACTTACCTTCCTCTGTGGCCAAGGTTGTTTGTTTCACCATGCCCTGCCTTTGCCAATTATCTGACCAACCTTGGAGATACTGCTCATCAAGGTAGACTCTGGATCTGAATCCACAAAAGCAGTTCTCATGTGACTTTAAATAAAGAATTAGGCTCAAAGCTTGGAAAAAATAAGATTTTTGCACCATACCTCCCAAGAATCCCTGGTTAGGAGATTCTGGAAGGAGTATTTTAAAGCCCTGGCCTTTCTAAATTAGCTGATTCTGCTCTAAGGAGATGGGATGTCGTATGCTTTATCTCATGGACATGAAACCTGGTGCCTCCAGCTGTCTTAGAACATTTATTTTTTTGGCTTTGTTTATTATTCGGTTTTATACACAGTGTCTTCCCTCTTAAAGGGGATTGCAGGGCTGTCTACATCAAAATGCAAGAGAATAAAAAAGGTAAAGGTAAAGGTTTCTCTTGGCATTAAGTCTTGTCGCATCCGAATCTGGGGGTTGATGCTCATCTTCATTTCTAAGCCAAAGAGCTGGCGTTGTCATGTGGCCGGCATGACTGCATGGAGTGTCGTTACCTTCTCGCAGAAGCAGTACTTATTGATCTACTCACATTTACATATTTTTGAACTGCTAAGTTGGCAGAAGTTGGGGCTAACAGCGGAAGCTCACCCCGGTCCTCGGATTTAAACCGCCAACCTTTCAGTAAGCAAGTTTAGCAGCTCAGCTGTTTAACCCGCTATGCCACAAGACAACCAAATGAAATTGTAAACATCAGCAGTAAAATTCAACATGTTAATATTTTCAACATTTTGAAAAATTTACATATATTATACCTTGGAAAAATAAAAAGGGGTTGATCCTTTCACAGCTTTGATATCAGCCAAACCCTACTCTAGGGGTATGTCCCAAGTTATAGTGATATTAGAAAATACCTTTTTTGTATATTTTTTCTCCTATGTGAAAAAGACTATAGGTGATGAATTTGTCAAAACTAGTGGAAAGTATTTCTGTGTCAAACCCTGGTTTGAACCCAAACTGAAATGAGTCTTGGCTGAGGATAACATGCCGCTCTTGCCCGTTTTTGCAGCCTTCTGTGCTGTCAGAATTTGCCAACGCAGCAACAGCAGTGAAAACAATTTCTCTTTCTGAACAAGATGTACAGGGAGAGTGTCCCGTGTTTTCTAGAACAGTTGTGTTCCTAGATCAGGAACAGGCACGTTCCAGGTGAAGGCTGCATTGCCACCCCTGCGATCGGGCCACTGGTTTTGATGCCGAGCCACCAAAGGTGCTGCTGAAATGGCAAGAGTGGCAAATAAACAAACATATAATAAGCACATTTTGCTTTGGAAAAAAAGGAAAGCAATCAGCAAAACTTATCCCCTTAAGAGAAAATTTCCTTTGCTCTCTTGCTGATTACTAATGAATCAAATGAACAGTGTAAATAAACAAACACTTCCAAGGCAGCTTTGATTTTTAACAAGTGTATAAGCAGACAGGATTAAATAACATGAAAAATATTTGTGTACCACATAGAGCTGACTTCTGTTGAGCTCCCTCTGTCAGCTCCAGCTCCCCATGCCAGGAGAAGCCTCCCATAGGATGGTAAAACATCCGGGTGTCCCCCGGGCAACGTCCTTGCAGACTGCCAATTCTCTCTCACCAGAAGTGACTTGCAGTTTCTCAAGTCACTCCTGACACACACACACAGACCACTGGGAGAGACACATCTGTGGGCAATCCATGTTTGTTACAGCAGGGAATTGCTGGTTTAAGTTAAGACAAGTTTAGCATTCCTTATCCAGAACTCCAGAATCCAAAACTACCCATAAGGAGTGCTGAAATCATAATGGTTCAAGTGTACACTAATAAAATTATTAAAAATATTATGTATAACATGACCTCAGGCTATGTGTATGAAAAACATGAACAAATTTTGTGTTTAGACTTTGGTTTCATCTCCAGGATATCTCATTATGTATGTATATGCAAATAAGAGTATTCCAAAGTATGGGGGGGGGGGATCAAAAACCAAAAGGAGCCCCCGGTGGCTCAGTGGGTTAAACTCTTGTACCAGCAGACTGCTGACCAAAAGGTTGGGGGTTCGAATCTGGGGGGTGGGGTGAGCTCCCTTCTTTCAGCTCCAGTTTCTCATGTGGGGACATGAGAGAAATTTCCCACAGGATGGTAAAACATCCTGGTGTCCCCTGAGCAACGTCCTTGAAGACGGCCAATTCTCTCACACCAGAAGCGACTTGCAGTTTCTCAAGTTGCTCCGGACACAAAGATAAACAATAAAAAACCAAGGCATTTTTGAACCCAGGTGGATACTTGTGGTGATGTGTGAATTTTAATCTACAGTTATGTATAATTATAGATAGGTGTTTGAAAGGGTAAGTATTTAGAGTTGCATAACTGGGGGGGGGGGGGGGGGGGGTAGCCAGCTCAGCTCACTTTGAACTGGGTTGCTATGGAAAAGGGCAGAGCCAACTTGGCAGGACAGCCATTTTAAAACGGTCACTCTGTAGTCGGTGAACTGTAGGAGAAGCTGGTTCTGTGGTAGTGAGAACCAGGAAGGTAGTCTGTAGTTTAAAGACTACAGGGAAAGGCTGATTCTACTGTAGTGAAAATCAGGAAGGTTTTGGCTTTTAGCCTAGGTAGTTTAGATAAGTCGAGTTGACTTATTATATTAGTAGTTAGTGTATGAGTGGAAAGGGTGAGAGAAACCCAGTAAGAGTCTTTATTGCAACAGAAACATCACAAAGAAAGAATAAGCTTGTATCTGAAGTAATCTATTAAAGAAAGAAACACAGTTTGAAGAAAAATAAGATTGAAACCTGTTTAGTGGAAGGAAGAGTCCTCTCCTAAGAGTTGTTTAAGGAATGTTATAAATGTAACCTCTGAAGATATGTGCCTCTAAGAGTTAAGAAACATTGAAACCATCAATCTTCTACATTGCAATAAATTTATTACAGTTTCTTCTGTTACAAATCCTTTTCAAGTTAAGTCACACTACACATTGAAGAAAGACGAATTCAATATTACTAGCTATCAATTTAATAAGCCCTTACAAAGTGGTGGCTCCTTTATGAAACCGTTACAAACTGGTGGCTTCGTCACAATACCTAGCTTGTAATTCTGTAAAAGAGGCAAGTTCAAACTAAGTAATTCTCCAATTCTTTCTTGATTTCTCCTTTCAGAGTTTGGGGAAACTGTTCCTGAGAGGAGCCAGCCTTCAGCAGCACAGCCTGAGGCTCGAAGGAACAGTGTTAAGGTGGAACCAGAGACCAGCCGGCCATAAGTGGCAAGTGACGCACCGCTCAGTCACCAAGCAATAACAAATGTGCCGACGCCAACAACCATCTCCAGATTGAAGAGACTCCTGCTGGGGAGAAGTGTGCAATCCTCCACATCACCACAAGGAGGCATATGCTCAACTTCATTTGACTGAAGGAGAGCTACCATGTAGTAACACAACACACCATTAGTTAACCACTCCCAGTTCTCTTCACTGCATAGAGAGCATGCCTGTGCACCCCCTAAGCAGAAATTAAGACTATATAAATAGGGGAAATGCTCTGTTGTCAGAAGCCTGTCACCTTATTAACTCTGCAAAAAAGGGGGGCTGATAGCCATGAGCTCAGGGAGGATGTATCTCCAGCTGGTTTGGCCCTATGCGGGGCTACTGGAAGGTCAGTCTCAACTACGCAGCCTTTTCCCTTAGGTGGGGTCAGGGTCTGTAGGGTACACATAGCCATCTTTTTTTAAACGCACATAAATACACTTTTTACAGAAAGGCATTCAGTGGCTGAGCTACACACACCGATCTTCTTCCCATATTTCTTAACAGTCATGATTTCACTCATACATGCCTTCCTTATATGTACATAAAACACGTCAGTTCCATTGCCCGTCTCTCTTTAGACCACCTAACAACCTAGTTCTAATGTCTGCACATTAGGTTGTGTCCCTGTGTGTTGTATATCTTATAGGCAAGGCCAAGTGCAATCCTAACACATCATTATCCCACCCCTTGTTCTTGATGTTATTGGTGTTTAGTCACCGATAGTACCAATTAACATAGTACCGATTAACTGTTTGGCCCTGTTTTAAATGCTTCAAAGTGTTTTGCTTCCACGACTGCTCCACAGAGTATTCTTAGAATATTGCACATGGTCTATTAACCCCTAAATTTGAATTAACTAATTGCTACAATTTGTTTGTAGTTGGGCTGCTAGCAGTTACTTTTCTTTCCCTCTTCAGCTGCATTCTAGCAGCAGATTCGCATTTTTGGAGAATTTACAGAAATCGTAAGAGATTCAGGGATTCAAATGGACTTCAGTGGCTTTTGACCTGTAAGATAATCTAAGGAGGAAACTGAAAGACAAAGGGCTTCTTTCTTGTGTTGTCGATAGCTTTCATGGCCGGAATCACTAGGTTGCCGTGAGTTTTCCGGGTGGTATGGCCATGTTCCAGAAGCATTCTCTCCTGACATTTCACCCACATCTGTGACAGGCATTCTCAGAGGTTGTGAGGTCTGTTGGAAACTAGGCAAGTGAGGTTTATATATCTGTGGAATGTCCAAGGTGGGAGAAAGAACTCTTATCTGTTGGAGGCAAGTGTGAATGTTGCAGTTGGCCACCTTGATTAGTATTGAATGGCCTTGCAGCTTCAAAGCCTGGCTGCTTCCTGCCTAGGCGTCTTTCTTGTCGAGAACTATGAGAAACACCACCTCATTCCTCCACTATAGCCATTTCTTTCTTTCCTACCCTTGTGCTTTACTGACACATCTGGGACTTCTCCCTTTTTACTGCTTCAATGCTAGCAGAAATAGGAATGAACAACTGTGAGGTATCCAATACCCCAAAATAAGAAATGGACTCAACAGCAGCCATGCAATTTTGACTATGTACACGAAGTAAATGTTGCTTTGTGGAGCTATTGTCGTATTTACTCGCATCTAGCACGCTATCGAATGTAATGCGCAATGACCCTGAAACCAAAAAACATATTTGCTGGTGAATGTAATGTGCAATGGCAAAAAGTGCACTCTTTGTAATTTGGCCCCAAAAGGTGTGCATTACAGTTGCAGCGTGCTTAGAATTGCTTCTTTAGAAACCAAGGTGTTAGGAAACTTAAATCTTCTAGTAATTGAAAAGAAAACGAGAGAAATAGGTAAGCCTTACCTCAAAGAGTCTCTCTGATTATCCTGTCTTCTACCTGGTATGAATCCATTCTATAGAATGAATGCCGCTGGACACCAATTTGATTGTCCTGGATTAATGAAATGGAATCCTTGGAGTTGTAATTCTATGAGCTCTTTAGCCTTCTCTGCCAAAGGGAGCTGATTGCTTCCAAAAACTACAAATCCCAGGATTCCATACACAGAATAATTGTGTTCTATGGTCCCTTCTACACTGACTTATATCCCAAGACCTGATTCCAGATTATCTGCTTTAACTGGATTATATGAGTCTCCACTGCCAGATAATCTGGGATCAGTTCCTGGGATATAGAGGCAGTGTGGAAGGGACCTAAGTGTTCTCAAATAGCATGGATTCTTACAATATAGGTGCATCATGGGTGATTCCAAAGTCCTTGGATGAATCTACACTGGAATTAATGCAGCCTGACACCACTGCCATGGCTCAATGCTTTGGAATTATGGGGGAAGTAGTTTACAGGGTCTTTAACCTTCTCTGCCAATGAATGTTGGTGTCTCAAAAACTACAGCTCTCAAGATTACATAGTACTGAGCCATGGCAATTAAAAGTCATGTAAAATTGCATTAGGAGCCCCCGGTGGTGCAGTGGGTTAAAGCGCTGAGCTGCTGAGCTTGTTGACCGAAAGGTCACAGATTTGATTCCGGGGAGCGGCGTGAGCTTCCGCTGTCAGCCCTAGTTTCTGCCAACCTAGCAGTTTGAAAACATGCAAATGTGAGTAGATCAATAGGTACTGCTCCGGCAGGAAGGTAACAGCGCTCCATGCAGTCATGCCGGCCACATGACCTTGGAGGTGTCTATGAACAATGCCGGCTCTTTGGCTTAGAAATGAAGATGAGCACCACACCCTAGAGTTAGACATGACTGGACTTAATGTCAGGAGACAACCTAACCTTAAAATTGCATTAATTCTGATGTGTATCCCAGGAGGCCTATACTGGGGTCCTAGACTTTAGTCCCCAAATCTACTTAGAGCTGCAAAAGTGAACCACAAGCAAATCTCAGAAAAACTTCCTCTGACGTAGTGGAAGTAAATATGGGGACTAAATATTCTAAATGCGATCACCCGAAAAATAGGATTTACATTCTGTGCCTGCTTACAATTCTGTGGCTGCCTGCTCTCAGAATTCTGCAGGAGGATTTAAGGTGGAATGAAGTATATTGTGATGAGTTAAACCTATCTGATTTTGGAAACTAAGCAAGGTCAGTGTTAATTAATATAATTAATAACCAGTTGGTGTAGGCTATATTTCAGGGGAAGGAGTTGGAAAAAAATCATTTTCTCAGGCAGAAATAGTTGGATACAGTCAGGGCCTGGTGAAATGACACAGCTGCCCAAAACAAATGTTTAAACACGTAGGGATTACACTGTATTATGTTCTATGCCAAGTTTACTTTCATAAGATTTGTTGATTGCCAACCTCTCTCCCTGTTCAACATGTGAATGGTGAAAAGGACGGGCACAGCAGTGGAAAAATTCAGGGAGAAAGTGAAATGTTTGTCCCTATCCACACTCTTAAAGCTCTGGAGATAGAAGATTAAACTATGTTTCTCTTTAAACCAGTGGTTCCCAACCTTTGGGTCCCCAGATATTTTGGTCTTCAACTCCCAAAATCCTAACAGCTGGTAAACTGGCTGGGATTACGGGAAGTTGTAAGCCAAAACACCTTGGGCTCACAGATTAAGAACCACTGGTTTACACAGTCTCCAGAATTTCCTCACACCTGGACTACCTGCCAGGCTGGGTCACCCCATCTTCTTCCATTCATAACTAAAGTTGGTCTAAACATCGGTCTTCAGAATGGGAGTCAAAAGGAGCAGCAATAACTTATTCCCCCCAAAAATGCCATTACAGGAGCAGTCTGTCAGCAAACCTTTTGAATCGCACAAGTGCAAAACACAGATGGGTCTCAGGAAGTCTTTAAATCTGATTGAGGCAAAATAAAAAGCTCACTCACTATCCATTCTAGCCCCCATCCTCTCCCATAGAAAGTTGTTGTCTTTGTACAGAAAAAAATGACCACCCTTTCCTTTGTAATGTGTACAGTAGATTATTTATTTTGTTATTTTGGAATAAAGTCTTATTTTATGGCTTATTTTACATTGCACCTTTTACCAGCTACGAGGCTGGGAACAGAGACGCTGGCAGATGGCGGAAAAGTTTGTACAGCGAGACTGCAAATAAGAAGGGTTGAGAAATGTGTTCGCCGGTGGAATATCCCATTCCCTCAAGATGAGAGAAATTGCTCCATATTCTTCTATCTGGATCTTGCAGGCCATTGTATTGAAAATGGATTGTTCTGGAAGATAGGAGGATCTGAGCTCCATATTATCAGGAAAACATGCAGGCTTAGAGGATTAGCCCACTATATTTTTCTGCCTGAGGCAAAGTACAACATGGTGACCTTCCTTATGCAGTAGGTAGTTGAATTTTACTTTAACACGGATAATGAGAGGGCACCCTTCCTCCACTACACCTAAGGGCAGAAGGGCAGCTTTGAAGAATGGCTTTTGACACTTCAAGCTCCAGACCAGGGGTCCTCAAACGTTTTAAACAGAGGGCCAGGTCACAGTCCCACAAACTGTTGGAGAGCCGATTATAATTTGAAAACAACATTAATGAATTTCTATGCACACTGCACATATCTTTTTTGTAGTGCAAAAAACACTTAAAAACAATACAATAATTAAAATTAAGAACAATTTCAACAAATATAAAATTATTAGTATTTCAATGGGAAGTGTGGACCTGCTTTTGGCTGATGAAATAGGATTGTTATGTGCTTTCAAGTTGTTTCAGACTTAGGTTGACCCTGAGCGAGGGCCTGGTAAATGACCTTGGAGGGCCACATCCAGCCCCCGGACCATAGTTTGAGGACCCCTAGACCCTTGATGGTTCACTTACACTTCTGAACCACCATTATTATCCCTTAATGAAGCCATTTCCCTCTGCCTAGAGACAGGTCTAGGACATGAAGCAACGGATTTGTGGATATTTAATTAATATAATGCTTTTTTTCTGAAGGAGATACTGTCACAGAGTAGGGAAGAGCCAATCCACATGCTTGGCTTTTTAGAGGTTTCCAGCAGCCCAACAAATCTTCATCTTATATTGAGAAGCAAAGGAACATGGTGAGTCTTCAAAATCCTGAGAAAAAGTAGCTTCTAGCTAGGCTGCAAAGCTGTTCAGAATTGGCACAGATCATCAAGGGAGGTCCTCTTACCCTTTGCCCAAAGTAGCAATAGCACCAAGCTGCAAAGAAGCCAGCGAGTGAATGAGAGCCTCTGTCCTGCTCCATAATAGTGAGGCTCTGCCCTGGAATAATATGCATACTTCCCAAGCCGGTCAATGTCCTTGGGCAGAGTGAAACACTCCATGAGTCTGATCCAGCAAAGCATCCAAACTGCTTTTGAGTCAAGAGAAGATCTCAAGAGGAAGGGGAGGTGAGGGAGAGAGAGAGATATGGGAGCAGTGTTCTGTACCCTGGAAGAATTTGGGAGGAACAACCCCTCCTGTAATCTGGTATCTTAATTCTTGATGGTTTGGCTTTCCATGAAAGTTCACCCAAAGTACTGGATGTTAAGCATACATGTTGGGTCATGCTGGATCCTGTGAATAGTGGTTCAGATCTTGCTCAGGACGCAACAGCAGGGCCAGTTCTTCATCAGAGGGGGGTACCATCATCGTAGGTAGCCTATGGATGAAAAAAAAAAGGTAGATATAAGTCTACAGGCTGTGGACTTCATCCTGCCAGGCAGGAAAAGCACAATCAAAGCACCTCCTGAGCGGTGGGAGGCAAATAGGGTTTTGAAAGCAAGGAAGGCAAGGGGGAAAGATCTGAGCGGCAAGGGAGGTGGAGAAAAAAGGCTTTTGGGAGGCGGGAGTGGGAGGAGGAACATGTAAGAGGAGGGAAAGCTTGGAGGGGGGAGGAGAACACCATGGAGCCCCTCAATATGCTCCACAGAGACCTAAGAGAACCACTGCTCTACTGGGACGAGGTCCAGTGAAGCACACAGGCAAGGTTATTCCATCACATTATGTACCCCCACATTTCCCCTAGGCAGTTTGGTCAAAAGGTTCCAGAACCACACCAATGCATAGAACAGTGATGGTTTTGGACTACAACCAATGAAACTCCTAACTAACAATTTGTTCCCAAGCTTTGGCTATAACACAGCCACTTCAAAGGTGGCTTTACCTCAGTGACTTTGCATGTAGAAGGTCCTAAATTCAATCCTTGCTTCTCCACATAGATTTGAGAGCCCCCCTCATTCCTGGCAGTAAGTCAACTGATGTGACATCTGCCAATCAGTTTGAACAACAATGGTTGAACAGACCAATAGTCTGACGTTATAAGACTTTTGGAGAAAAGTCACTCCACTATAGTCCTAGAAGAGGCCTTTCTCTAACGATGAAGTAAACTAAACGTCATTTCATGTTTAGAATTATCTCTCTCCTGGGGTTCAGCCAACTGAAGGTAACCAAAAATTGTTGCAATGTATCTCTTACCTATCCCTTCTTGTTTTAGCATTGTCCCCTCCATGCGCCTCTAAAGGGGCCAAAATTTTTCCCATTCCTGGCAGTAAGTCAGCCCCACTGTAATATCGCAAAGGGCTGAGGAACTGCTACTTCTGCTTTCATAGAACCCGGTCAACTCTTTTCATTCCCAGGAAGATTAGAATGAAGCAACAGAGGTGCTGTATTGGATGCACCACTTCCTCCAAATTATTTTTTCTTAAAAGAAACCTAAAACCGCTCTCGATATCTATGGCTGTCATATTACAGTTTCTCAAATTTGATCATATAATTTGCAAATTGGGCAAATTACTCAAATAATTGTAATGGCATTTATTAATTTATTATTTATTGACTTCATTTAGATACCACTTTTCTCCCCCAGGGGGACTCAAAGCCGTTACACGGCAAGAATTCAATGCCTTACAACATATAAAAAAGCCTAGTATAAAAGCAACTGTAACATATTTAAGTTTAATTTAAGTTTAATTTTAATTTATAGTTATAAATTAAAATTAAACCATATTAGAGAAACAACACCATCTAGACATTTAAACATGAAATTAAAACTTATTAATATAAATATTAAAATCACATAATCCAGAAGCTGAAGTTTGAGGCCTTTCCAAGTGTCAATTGAACATAATCCTGTACATTTCTTGCACTGCTAACTGCCCAAAGGCCTGGTCCCACATTCATGTCTTTCTTTCTGAAGACCAAAAGGGAGGGCGCTGATCTAATTTCAGTAGGGAGTTCCGCAGGCGAGGGGCCACAACTAAGAAGGCCCTGTTTCTCATCCTCCCAGTCACACTTGTGAAGGAGGTGGGACCGAGAGCAGGGCCTCCTCAGAGGATCTTAACCTTCGAGGTGGATCATAAAGGGAGATATGTTAGGACAGGTAAGCTGGGCCAGAACTGTTTACGGCTTTATAGGCTAAAGCCAGCACTTTGAATTGTGCTCGATAGCAGACTAGCAGCCAGTGGAGCTGGCATAACAGGGGAGTTGGCATAATAGGGGAATTGTATGCTCCCTGTACCCTGCTCCAGTGAGCAATCTGGCTGCCACTCGTTGGACCAATTGAATCTTCTGAACAGTCTTCAAAGGCAACCCCACATAGAGTGTGATGCCGTAATCTATTCAGGATGTGACCAGAGCGTGGAGTACTGTGGCCACGTCTGATTTTCCATGGTACGGGTGCAATTGGCGCACAAGTTTTAACTGTGCAAAAGCTCCCCTGGCCACTGCCAAGATCTGAGGTTCCAGGCTCAGCGATGAATCCAGGAGAACTCCCAAGCTGCGAACCTGTCTTCATGGGGAGTGGAACCCCATCCATTACAGACTGTAACCCTATACTCTATTCGGCCTTTCGAGTGACCACGAGTGCCTTTGTCTTGTCTGGATTCAGTTTTAATTTGTTCACCCTTATCCAGAGCATCATGGCAGCCAAGCACCGGTTCATTTGCATCAAAGAATGCATATTTAGCACTATATTTCAACCATGCCATTTTTTTAATAGTTGCAGCTAATCTAAACGAACTTAGAGATACTGTCTTTTGTGAGCTGCGCTCCCATTCTTATGTATCTTGCTCCCCTAGTGTCCATACATTATGTTGGGCCTTTCCATGCAACAAACTATCTAAAGAACCTGACTGTGGACAAATACTATTACCTATTTTCCAAAGCAAGGTGTAGAGTGCTTCTATCTGAATTGCTGCGAGGGAGATTTGCAGGTATCCCATATAATAAAAGACTCTGCCCATGTAACAAACAGAAAATAGAATGCATCTCTCACATTCTACTGTCATGCGGTTTCTATGAACAGGCCTGAGCACACATAATCAACCTCCAACTTAGGAACTTATCAGCTAGCCCAGAAAAAAATTATGTGAAGTTTCTACTTGGTGATGACCTTTTCCACCTGACCTTGGCAATTGCCAAGTTTCTTTCCAAGGCAGCCAGGATTAGAAAATTCCCAATTTTAGACACAGGCTGAAACAACCTGGTACTTCTTGTAGACTTATACCCATGTTTTTATCCAACATGCATTTTAAGCAGTTTTAAACTGCTGAAACTTTTACCTGGCGGTACAATGGGTTAAACCCTTGTGCCGGCAGGACTGAAGGCTGACAGATTATAGGTTTGAATCTGGGGAGAGCTCCCTGTGTCAGCTCCAGCTCCCCATGTGGGGACATGAGAGAAGCATCCCACAAAGACGATAAAACATCAAAACATCTGGGTGTTGCCTGCACAACATCCTTGCAGACAGCCAATTCTCTCACACCAGAAGCGACTTGCAATTTCTCAAGTCGCTCCTGACACGAAAAAAACAAAAACAAAACCCATTTGTGTGTTCAATCAACCAGATGTTGTTAATCTTTTAAACCTACATATAGATTGATGGCATTGATTTGGAACATGGAAACTCCAATTCAGTATTCTGTCCTGGAATTTACCAGAAGACTCTTCTCACTCTTTCTCCTTTCCCTGATGCCTAAAATGCCTTTTTTATTTTTTTATTTTTTTTGCAGGGAAATTTGAGATAATGGTTCCTGCACATTTTGTTACATATTTTGGATTCTGTAAGGGTTAATGACACGTTCCTTTAAAAAAACCCCAAGATTTAAATATGGCCAAATGGGCACTGAGTAGCATGCACGGAATCTAGATGAAATCCAGCTAACTGGGTGGTATGATAGGGCTTCCCACTAGGACTTTTGGGGAGTAATATCACCATGTTTTGGGGTCCTTCAGTTTTAGGCCTAGAAGAATCTTTTTAACCTTTAAAAAACTAAAATGCGAAAAGAAAGTTACATTTCAGTTTGACTCTTGGCTTTTGAAAAAGGTCTCTCTGTGGCCTGAACAGTGAAGGTGGGTGAATGACGGCGACTTGCAGCCCCGGAGAGCTACCTGAGGCTTATGAATCATACTTTATGTATTCCTTTTTTGTGCACTCACACAGTCTACTCACATCATATGGTTTGGGAGCATATGAAGATCGGTTGCGTACGGTGAAGCGTGCTCATTTTGCAGAGAGATGTCTGGCATATCCACGTCGGTAGGCATAGGATATGAATCCATTGGGCCGAGGGGTGACTCATTTCCCAAAGAGTATGCGTAGGTCACTTCACTAGAGGAAACAAGAAATGAGTGTAAAACATGGCTAAGTCAACACATACTGGAGAAAAGGAACAAGATAATCTAACACTATATTGCAACTGCGCATTTTAGAAACACGTACATCTTCTTTTCCACCCAATGAATTCACGGTGGTTCATCTCCTCTCCTTTTATCCTCACATAAGATTGTGACTTAAGTCAGAGCTTCTTAAAAAATTCCACTTGTGAACCCTTTCCGCCACAGAAATGTTAACATGACTCTAGGTATATAGGTATAGAAAGTAGGTATAAAAATGATTTTTTCTACTGATACTTAACCAGCATTTACCAGGCTTGCTTTGTTTTCATATCAGGAGTAACTTGAGAAACTGCAAGTTGCTTCTGGTGTGAGAGAATTGGCCGCCTGCAAGGATGTCGCTCAGAGTTTAAAATTCTGTACAAAAGCAATAGCATGTAAGTGGGTTGAACGGGACTCAACCCTCTCACAAACATCCTACAGGATGTTTTACCATCCTATGGGAGGCTTCTCTCATGTCCCTGCATGAAAACCTGGAGCTGACAGAGGGAGCTCACTCCATTCCCCAGGCTTGCTAAACAGGCAGATTTCCATTTTTGTGGAGTTGAGCTCAAGCATTTTCTTCAGAGTCCATTGTAAACACTGCAGGTTGTTTTTTTGTTGTTGTTGTTTTTAAAATTTTAAATCAATTTTATATGCTGCCACTCCACGAAGGCTCGGAGCGGTTTACAATATACACATGTGACACACTACATATAAGATCAAGAAAAACTTTGATCAACAAAATTCAAATGTCACCCTAAATAAATAAGTTTTACAAGCTCTACGAACAGCAAGTCAATCGCAGAGAGCTCATGTTCCCACTGGCAGAGCATTCCATAGATAAGGAGCCACCACCATGAAAGTTCTATGCCTAGTAGACATCAGGCGAATGATCCTAAAATTGGGAACTTCAATGAGATTCTGATCGTCTGAACAAAGCGATCTCGGGGATTGGTAGGGGGTGAGGCGGTCCCTCAAGTACTCCGGCCCCAGGCCATATAAGGCCTTAAAGGTAAGAATCAGCACTTTGAAGGTAATCCGGTGCTCAACTGGCAACCAGTGCAGTTGCTGCAAGATTGGAGTGGCACCTCACTGGCACCCCTGCGAGAAGCCAGGCAGCAGCATTTTGCACTAGTTTAAGTTTCCGGATCACCGATAAAGGCAGGCCTATGTAAAGGGCATTACAATAGTCCAACCTTGAGATAACCGTAGCCTGGATCACCGTGGCCAGGTGTTAACAGATTTGTGCAACAGACATTCAGAAACCTTTGTCTGTTGTCAAATTTTTTGTGACCCCAACACTGAGCTCAGGGTACTTGATTTGTGGTTGGGACCCTCAGTTTATGAAGCAGAGATGTAAATCAGGCTGGCAGAGAGCGTAAAGCTAATCCATGGTTGGATTTTGGAGTTCTACGACTCCTTGCAGACTTGAAATCCCACTTCAGGTGCAGTTTGCAGTCCAAGCAGGGTGAGATATTCAGCTCTTCTAACCGCAATCCACTTATGATTTTATTAACTCTCTGGTTATTTTAATTTTGCATCAGAACAGGTGAGGAAGTACAAGTGTAACTTTTAGTCTCCCTCCCTCCCTCCCACTTTCTGTCTTCATTTCCTCGACACAAATAAAAAAGAGAGTTTCTTACGAATGCAACTGGGGGCTTCCATATACTGAGTTGTCAGAGGGAGACATGTGTCTGGATGATGAAATCATCAGTGATGAGCTGCTGCAAAGACAGAGCAAGAATATGTCAAATATTTGTCAAGGGAGCAGTAAACTGTAAATCCTGTCATAAGGTAGATTGGGGAATGAAATAGGAGAGATAGAGTGATATGTATAGAACAGTCACTTATTCATATCTAATCATGGCATATTTTAATAACCCCATGTTTATTACCCACTGCATATTTATCTTTCAGGAGATCTGGAAATTGTAAATGATGCTCTTCCCTTTCACAGCTGTGCGTAGTATGCTAGTCAGAGAGAAGATAAGGGAGATAAAAGCTGAAGGTCACCTAGAGGGGTTCGTGGGATTAATTGGGATTGGACGGACTCACGACTGTGGAGCAGAATATATATGCTTGCCCACAATGCCCTGCCTCATGCACAGAGGAAGAACTGTTTAAACTACAGACAATGCAATCACTGCTGCTTGGTTTGGGTCAAAAATTATTTAACCGTTTGTCACTGTTAAACATAAAAAATAAGATTATGGCAACCAGACTGATTGATAACTGGCAAATAGAGGGAGAAAACGTGGAGGAAGTGACAGACTTTGTATTTCTAGGTGCAAAGATTACTACAGACGCAGACTGCAGCCAAGAAGTCAGAAGACATTTACTTCTTGGGAGGAGAGCAATGACCAGTCTCGATAAAAAAGTGAAGAGTAGAGACATCACGCTAGCAACCAAGATCCACATAGTTAAAGCAATTGTATTCTCCATAGTAACCTATGATGCGAGAGCTGGACCATAGGGAAGGCTGAGTGAAGGAAGATAGACACTTTTGAACTTTGGTGCTGGAGGAAAATCCTGAGAGTGCCTTGGACAGTGAGAAGATCCAACCCATTCATACTCCAGGAAATAAAGCCTGACTGCTCATTGGAGGGAAGGATAGTAGAGGTCAAGATGAAGTACTTTGTCCACACAATGAGAAGGCAGGAAAGCTTGGAGAAGACAATTATGCTGGGGAAAATGGAAGGAAAAAGAAAGAGGGGCTGACCAAGGGCAAGGTGGATGGATGGTATCCTTGAAGTGACTGCCTTGACTCTGAAAGAGCAGGGAATGGCCACGGTCAACAGGGAGCTCTGGCATGGGCTGGTCCATGAGATCACGAAGAGTCAAAAGCGACTAAATGAATAATGTCTTTCCCTTTCACAGCTGTGTGTAGTAGGTTCCTTCTATTTTTATCAGTTTTATACTTACGTATGCAATGCTTTTCACACAAAATAAATAAATACACCGACTCAGACATCACAGCTATTGTTTGAGTATGAGGGCCTAAGCCAATGATGGGCAACCTTTTGAGTTTAGTGTGTCAATACTCGCCAAAAAACCGAGCATAACTAGAGTGGGGTGTCACTTCGAGAAAAACTCATAATTTCATGATATTTATAGTTTAATAATAAAATATATTATTGTAATATATAACTGTATTTAATAAACCAAAAACTAATTATTTAAGTTACCTGCTTTTTCTATAATGCCATATATCTCGGCATTATAGAAAAATGCTGGTGTAGGAGCCGAGGATGAAATGTCCTTCTTGGGATGCGGCCCCATCTTCTCTGCATGCGGCTGCATGCGGCTGTGTGTCATCGAAAATGGCTATGCGTGTCAGTGCTGACACACGTGTCATAGGTTTGCCACCATGGGCCTAAGCTAAGGTTATGTTGTGACCCATTTCAGGCAATGGCAAAATCTCCAATACAACATGTCTGTTTAAATTACACTTGTTTTGTCACTTAAATAATATTGAAAATGAGTTTCATAACATGCTCTTATCAATCATCTGATGACTTTTGTAACGGTCAGCTTGAGAATTATGGGAAGTAACTGAAGTAACTGAATAAAAATAAATCTTGCATGTCTTAAATTCTGATCTCTATACAGCAAAAAACTTGGGTTTTTTCCCCTTTTAAATAAAAGCTCAGAATGAGGAGAGGGAAATTAGTTGGAAAAGGAGGGTTTAGATACAGATTAGGGTCACACCTATACTGCCTTATAATCCAGTTTGAATTGCATTATAATGATCAGTTAGACTCATATAATGCAGATTGAATCTCATTGACCTGGATGAGTCTACACTGCTATATAATACAGTTCAAATCAAATCAAATCATTTATTGCGGTCATTGACCAGCACAATATAATACAGTTAATTGCAGTTAATCTACATTCTGAAACTGAATTACATGGCACTGTAAATGGAACCTCACATAAGGAAAAGTTGCTAGAGACCCCTTTACTCTCAATGCAAACCATACAGCTGCTTTTACTAACTTCTAGTCACTGATCTTTCTTATCCCAAGCCGGTTGGCTCCGCATCCCAGTCATGTATTTATTTGTTTACAAACCCGCAACAGCAGCATTACCAAACAACACACAAAATGAAGATTTTCATATCCCAACTCCCACAAAGCTGAGGAAGGGGGTGGTGTACAGATGTCAGTCACGTCCTAACAATGGTTTATGTAGCCAAACCTTATGATTCACTTCTGCACACAGATGTTATCTGTAGGAGGTGACAAGTTATATAAACATCAGTGTTACATGCTGCATTCTTCTACAGAGGATGTCCTTTAATTCACTCTGTATGAAGGGGATGGGATACTGTTTCTCTCCTGTCTTTGACTACTACTGTGTTTCTTTCCCTGCTCTTGCACTTAAACATATTTCAGATCCACTGAATTCTGGCTGAGGAAACAGTGGGATTTCTGAAGTGTTGTCAGGGAATCAGCAAAACTTGCAGAGAAGTTAATATAGGAATTCTAGAGTCAGCCTTTTGCGGTCTCAGCTCCTTATGAATCGGTCAACTTTTTCCTGGTTAAAATGCCAAGTTCATATGAATTTTGCATTTTTAAACACTTTATTTAAACTAATTTTAATGTAGGGTGTATATTGTATTCGTATGTTATCTTTGTCTGTGGCATTGAATTATTGCCAACCTGGAAGCCTCTCTGAGTCCCCTTCGGGCTGAAAGAGAGCAGGGTAAAAATACAGTAAATAAATAAATAAGAACTTAAACTCATGTGTTTACTCTATGTCAGTCTGTTCTGTGCATTTTAATACATATATTTCATAGAAATGTGCTTTTATATTTTATATTTGAGTCCTCCTAGGGGTGAGAAAAACGGTATATAAATGCTGTAAATAAATAATAAATAAATAACATTTGTATTTTATATAATGTTTATGAAGGTGTGAAACCCCTGGTGGCACAGTGGGTTAAACCGCTGAGCTGCTGAACTGTTAACCGAAAGGTCACAGGTTTGAATCCGGGGAGTGGCGTGAGCTTCTGCACACAGCCCCAGTTTCTGCCAACCTAGCAGTTTGAAAACATGCAAATGTGAGTAAAACAATAGGTACCGCTCCAGTGGGAAGGTAACGGCACTCCATGCAGTCATGCTGGCCACATGACCTTGAAGGAGTCTATGGACAATGCCGGCTCTTCGGCTTAGAAATGGAGATGAGTACCCAACCCCTAGAGTCGGACACGACTGAACTTAATGTCAGGGGAAAATCTTTACCTTGTTTTTCACTATGTTGAGAACTGCCTCAAGCCATTAGAAGAGGCAGGTAAAAATATAACAACAACAAGAACAACAACAAGAATTTCCTTCCTTCCTAATATGGGGCTCCCTTCAATTCTAGAGCAAATAACAGGGAAATTATATACTTCAATCCAACTTGTCTTTTCTTTATTCCAAGAGGCTAACAAGATCATAAATATAAGCAGGCTTCATTAGACTGTTTTCACACACACTTAAGTAGAAGGATTCTCAGAAAACTGCAGACTTGGCACTTACTCATATGACGGATCAGAAGTGATTCCGAGATTCAAGTTAGAATTGCTCATGGAGTTGACTTGAGGCTGAAGTGACGGAACAGGAACCGAGGAAGGTCTGAAATGAAAGACAGATTGCATCAGCATCCATTTGTTTCGCAAGGCCTGCAGGATATCAAGTTCATCACTGACCAGTGCCAACAAAACGGTGGCCATGCCAAGACACCATTTGCATGTATAATTGACAATTTAAATTCCAGATCTCAGTTCATCTCACACACTTTTTAAAATGTAGGCAGTTCACATGTTCAGCTATAGAACATGGTAAATCACTGTTAGGAAATGGTTGCTTGGCTACATGGATCCTCTGATAAAGCAGAGCTCTTCTTATATTCCAAAGCCACCAAGTTATGATCTAAAAGGGTGACTGGAGGAGAACTGATGCTTCCTCCTTTTTCCATCTCCATGGCCTTACTGTGCCACTGTATTTAGTGCTTATGGCAGTGCCAAAGCAGTGGTGTCTTTCAGGTGTTGCAGAGGTGCTCAGTGACCCCTATGCAACTTCCTCACCTCACATCACATCAAACTTGTTAGTTTATGTTGTAATGTGCCATATTTAGTAATACTAGTCTGGTTTCGTGTATAAAATTATCATGATAGACTTCTGGTCAGTGATAGTCAACTGATAGTAATGTTAACTATGACTAATTGGCAATCCCATTAAGTGTGGCTTGGTTCAACATTTACTCATAGACTTCCTGAAAAGATTTAACTGTTGTAGCCCTATTGTTCTACTTTGACTCCCATTATGTCTTCTGGAATCCTGGGTTTTGTAGTGTAAAGAGGGCCCTTTGAATTCTCAGCCAGAGAATTCAAACCACAAGCCATTTTAAGTTGCTATGGCACTTAAAATGGAATAATAACAAATTAGTATGATAGGACCCTTATGTGCCACTGATTTCAATGGTTTTAAGCTTAAACAGAGGGACATCATCTCTAATTTAATTGCCATGTCTCAAGGATATGCAATGCTGGGATTTGTAGTTTGGTGAGGCATCAGCATTCTTTGGCAGCCCCCTTGATGCCACAGCATTGAACCAGGGCAGTTAAAGTGGATTTATTCTACAGCATAGATGCACCCAAGGTTTTCTTTTCTATTGCTGAAAGCTTTGGTGTTCTAACACTTTTGTTTTTTAGCATGCAGCCACTGTAATATGCACCTTTTTTGGCAAAATGATAAAACGTATACTTTTTGCCACTGCGTATTATATTTGCCAGCAAATTATTTTTTTGCTTTCATGGTTTTGAAAATTGAGATGTGCATTAGATTCAGTGGTGCATTAAACTAATCTATAACCATCTCCTGTGTTTGAGAGACTGCCTGCCACCATTGAGTCGGGAACCGTGGTGGAGCAATTGGTTAAACCCTTGTGCCGACTGAACTGCTGACCTGAAGGTCAGTAGTTCAAATCCGGGGAGCAGGGTGAGCTCCTGTCTGTCACTCCAGCTTCTCATGTGGGGACATGAGAGAAGTCTCCCACAGGATGGTAAAACATCCTGGGCAATATCCTTGCAGACAGCTAATTCTCTCACACCAGAAGCGACTTGCAGTTTTTCAAGTCATTCCTGACATGGAAAAAAAGCCCATGGAGTCAAACTGGAATCAGACCTCCAATATACAATTTCAACATCCCAAGCAAGACAAGAAGAGGCAGGAGAAGTTCCCAGTGATGTCAATAAGGCAGTTTTCCTCAGAAGAGAGAGAGAAAAAAAACACACATACTCACAGGTCCACAGTTATCCTCAATTGGGCTGGGACGTAACTGCCTTTTTGTGGTGCCTCTGCTGTGGAAGAAAACAGACATCATATTCACCCCATCCTTGCACAAAACAAGGGCCATTTTCTGCCATCAAAAGTCTCAAGTCCTGTCCCATAAGTAGTTAGTTCATATATTTTCTCTGAGGAGATCAAATAGGCTTTTTGCTTGACCTATCTAATGTAACAATGCTTAAACTTGGACTTGGGGAAGGAAGGAAGTTGGCCAAAGATATACCTTTCAGACCACCATGCCATATTCCGAATGGGAACAGCAGTTCACAAGACAAATTCTTTCCTCAATATTTCCAGTGAGGTTTGGAATGAGGAATGGACTCAGCTTGCCAATCTGCCTGTGCTACACTTAGGGTATTATCATACCATGCCATTAGAGAACTGCAGGGATCCATAATTCCCACTGGCACGTCAGCATTCTTAAACAATACCATCACTCTCTCTTGCTACATTGTAGGGTCACTGAAAGGGGGATGTTACTGTAGAAATGATCTGCTAATGAACCCCTTTGCCTGTCACAAATCTGTAATCATTTCAGATGCGGATTTTTCATTGGGGTTTTCTTTTGTTAGGTTAGGTTATCTTTCCTTTAAGAATTCTCAAAGAAATCTCTGGCAAGAAACTTCTGTTTTGGCCCTCTCATAATTTCTGATTGGGGGGGGGGGGGTGCTGTTAAATCATTATACTTTATAGCACAGCCTAAGTCATACTGCTGTAGTACTATGATGGATGATATATATATATGTTTATTCATTCAGTCGCTTCCAACTCTTTGTGACCTCATGGGCCAGTCCATGCCTGAGCTCCCTGTCAGCCATTGACACCACCCCCAGCTCCTTCAAGGTCAAGCCAGTCACTTCAAGGATACCATCCACCCATCTTGCCCTTGGTAGGCCCCTCTTTTCCCTTCCATTTTTCCCAGCATCATTATCTTCTCCAAGCTTTCCTGTCTTCTCATTATGTGGCCAAAGTACTCCATCTTTGCCTCTAATACTTCATATCATTCCCTCCAGTGAGAAGTCAGGCTTTATTTCCTAAATTATGGACTGGTTTGATCTTCTTGCAGTCCAAGGCATTCTCAGAATTTTCCTCCAACACCAAAGTTCAAAAGGATCTATCTTCCTTCACTCAGCTTCCTTTATAGTCCAGTTTTCACATTCATAGGTTACTACGGGGAATACCATTGCATTAACGATGCAAATCTTTGTTGCCAATGTGATGTCTTCTGATTTCCTGGCTTCAGTCTGCGACTGCAATAATCTTCATGCTTAGAAATACGAAGTCTGTCATCACTGCCTCCACATTTTCTCCCTCTATTTGCCTGATATCAATCAATCTGGTTGCCATAATCTTGATTTTATTGATGTTTAACTGCAACCCAGCTTTTGCACTTTCTTCTGTCACCTTGGTTAAAAGGCTCCTCAGCTCCTCCCCACTTTCAGCCATCATAGTGGTATCATCTGCATATTTAAGGTTGTTAATGTTTCTTCCAGCAATTTTAACTCCAGCCTTGGATTCATCAAGCCCCGCACATCGCATAATGTGTTCTGCATACAAGTTGAATAGGTTGGGGGAGAGTGTACAGCCCTGCCGTACTCCTTTCCCAATCTTGAACCAGTCTGTTGTTCCGTAGCCAGTTCTTACTGTTGCTACTTGGTCGTTATACAGACTCCTCAGGAGACAGACAAGGTGGCTTGGTATGCCCATCCCACCAAGAACTTGCCACAATTTATTATGATCTACACAGTCAAAGGCTTTAGAATAGTCAATAAAACAGAAATAGATGTTTTTCTGAAACTCCCTGCCTTTCTCCATTATCCAGCAGATATTGGCAATTTGGTCTCTTGTTCCTCTGCCTTTTCTAAACCCAGCTTGAACATCTGGCAACTTTCGCTCCATGTATTGTTGGCATCTACCTTTCAGGATATTGAGGATTACTAGGTTCTTGTGGGTTTTTTCGGGCTATAGGGCCATGTTCTAGAGGCATTTCTCCTGACGTTTCGCCTGCATCTATGGCAAGCATCCTCAGAGGTAGTGAGGTCTGTTGGAATTAGGACAATGGGTTTATATATCTGTGGAATGGCTGGGGTGGCGAATAGAGCTCTTCTCTTCTGGAGCTAGGTGTGAATGTTTCAACTGACCACCTTCATTAGCATTTGAAGGCCTGGCTGAGCCTGGGAAAATCTTTGTTGAGAGGTGTTAAGATGTGCCTGGTTGTTTCCTCTCTGCTGTTTTGCTGTTGTAATTTTAGAGTTTTTTAATACTGGTAGCCAGATTTTGTTCATTTTCATGGTCTCTTCCTTTCTGTTCAAATTGTCCACATGCTTGTGGATTTCAATGGCTTCTCTGTGTAGTCTGACATGGTGGTTGTTGGTGTGGTCCAGCATTTCTGTGTTCTCAAATAATATGCTGTGTCCAGGCTGGTTCATCAGGTGCTCTGCTATGGCTGACTTCTCTGGTTGAAGTAGTCTGCAGTGCCTTTCATGTTCCTTGATGCGTGTTTGGGCGCTGCGTTTGGTGGTCCCTATGTAGACTTGCTGCTAGGTCCATTTCTGATCATCTAAATCAGGGGCCCTCAAACTAAGGCCCGAGGGCCAAATACGGCCCTCCAAGGTCATTTACCTGGGCCTCGCTCAGGGCCAACCTAAGTCTGAAATGACTTGAAAGCACACCACCACCACAACAACAACCCTATCTCATCAGCCAAAAGCAGGCTCACACTTCCTATTGAAATACTAATAAGTTTATATTTGTTAAAATTGTTCTTCATTTTAATTATCGTATTGTTTAAAAGTGGGGTTTTTTCCACTACAAATAAGATATGTGCAGTGTGCATAGGAATTCATTCATTTTTTAAATTTTATAATCCAGCCTCCAACAGTTTGAAGGACTGTGACCTCACTCTCTGTTTAAAAAGTTTGAGGACCCCTGCTTTAGTGTTTCCCTTTTTTTTAGTATGGCGATATAAGTGGATTTTTTCCAATCTGATGACCATTGTTCTGTTTTCCATATTTGCTGACATATGCCATGCAACACCTTGACAGCATTATCTTTCAAGATTTTTACACACATACACACACACATATGTATATAGGTAAACCAAGCAGGGAGTGGTTGAAGGAGTCAGTAGTAATGGCATTTATGTGGACAAAAAGTGCAAATGACACTCATTAAGTGCAAATACAGCAAAAGTCTGATAGAGATAACATCTACACTCTCAGTTACTCACCATTAAGATGCCTTCTGAAAGCTTCAGTTTTGGGCCTGTCGGGATACAGTGTCTGAATCTGCAACAGATCCAGAACACAGTGGGCAAGAGAACGGATGGACAGTTGCTTTGCCGTGAAAGGTTGGATGTTCTCCACCTGAGTGGAACCTGAGCCAAGTGAGGAGAAAGCAAAACCAGAAGAAACCGAAACGTAAGCCCAAAGTAGAAGGCATATCTTCAATATACTGGGCAAGAAACACCAATGTACCCTAGCAACGTCCCCCTCCCCTCACAAAACTCTATCCTCACACAGAATAAACTCTGCTATGTACAGTAAGCAGCAGGGTACCTTCCTGAATATGGGTAAGGTAAGACAAACCCTCCCTACTTTTGTTGGAAATAGCAACCTTCCACTAGTTGTTTGCTGTGTATATAATTCAGATTGCTTACTGTATTGTATGTGTTGGTTTGCAGTTTTTCTTTAACTCTTTGTTGTGGGAGGGGCTGCAGACCATGTGATCAGGTCTGGGCTTGTTCAGGACTCAGACTCCATTTTAGAACAGTTTTGCTTTAGACTTCAGTAGGAAAGGTATGCTAAGAGACTCTATAGGACTTTCAGACTACACAGAGACTCTCGGAACAGAGAGATGCTTTAGATTATGGACTGTTGATTATAATAAGGATGCCTTGGGTTATCGACAGAGAGAACTGGATGAATTTGTAACTGGATGTATATGCAGCGTACCTCTGTGCTTTTTTTTTTTTTTTGTCAGGAGCATCCTGTTGTGAGAGAATTGGCCGTCTGCAAGGACGTTGCCCAGGGGACGCCCGGATGATTTGATGTTTTATCATCCTTGCGGGAGGCTTCTCTCATGTCCCCACATGAGGAGCTGGAGCTGATAGAGGGAGCTCATCCCCCTCTCCCTGGATTCGAACCTGCGACCTGTTGGTCTTCAGTCCTGCCAGCACAGGGGTTTAACCCACTGTGCCACCGGGGGCTCCATTCAGCACCTCTGTGCTGAATACATGAAATCTTCGAGTAAACCAACTGTGTTAGTTTTAAAGGAGTCTGCTTATTTTTGTCTCTTGAGAACATGATTTAAAGGCAAATATATTTTAAGGGAGAGTAGACTTTTTGGGTAACTAAAAAGAACACTTCTGAAACTCTGATGTATGCATATATGCATTGGCATATCTTTGTCCCTAACAGATCGAAGACATACCTAGGCACATCAGTTAAACAGCTGGGAAACCTGATTGCCTTGCATGAATGCCATTTCCCAAAAGTTTATGACTCCAACAGGTCATACTTTTACTAAGAGATTATAGCATCTATTTTCAAAGGTTGTAACTTCTAACAAGGTCATACCTTTTCAGAGATCAAAAAATGTCCAAAAGGTTATGGAGAATTCCATTTTCCAAAAACCCTTTCACTCTGGTTTTGCACTGTAGGTTACACAGAAGGAAAGATCAAGCGGGGAAAACTTGCCACCAACATCTTGCACAGATATATTTGGGCGTTTGGGGGGTGGGGTGGGAGGGTGAGAGAACTGCTGACAAATGTTGTGTGGTTTGTATCAGAAGGAAGTCTCCTTAAGACAGTGTGGGTGGGCTGATTCAGAGCAACGGTCTGAACAGAGATAAAATGGCAATAGAAAAATCAACAACCCACCCTCTCTCGTGGAGATTCAGGCACCCTATTTCTACCATTATAGCTGAGAGAACAGGGAAAGAGAGCAGTTGTCTCATACAAAGCCATACCATCCTGGTAGCAGGTAACATAAGCGATGCTGATGCCACCAATCTCAGAGTCACTGAAGCGGAGCAAGAAAGTACCCACTGGAGCATTGCTCAGGCAACTGAAAACATACTGCTTGCTGATAAAACCCATGATGAGTCTGTGTGGGACAAAGAGAGGGAGGCAATAGAAGGAAATGAAAAGAATGGGTCAAAATACATCATTACAATATTTGCAGATTGATATTTACAACTGAAGAGCCAGTCTACTTTGTTTGCTGGGACTCAGGCTGCACGACCCTGGGATATGAATATACAGTACAGGAAAGTGCAATTCACTGGAATTTGCAGATACCAATAATATCTATGGTTGACTTTTTTAAAAAGGGCAACAGTTATTTCTCCCATGTTTGCAATATAGCAGACTATTTGACAAAGCAAGAATAGGTGTGTGTGTGTGGTTGAAAACTGCATTTACACTCTGTGATATCTGTATTTAAACAACTTGATGGACTAGCATGATATCAACTAGCAACACAAGACAAAACCCTTCTTTTCTTGCTTTGGGATTTTTCATTGTAATGAGGAATTCCACCAGCTTTATTAAAGTAAATTAAATTAATCATGAATTTTAAACTTACGGTATTTTAATCTTTATTCTGCGTATTTTAATATATGTATTTTGTAGAAATATGTTTTAATATGTGTATTTTATGCAATGATTGTGTGTTTTTAGCTATGTTGTAACCCACCTCAAGCCTCAAGGTGGATAAATAATAATAATAATAATAATAATAATAATAATAATAACTATTGTTAATCATAATAATAAGACCCCCTGGTGGCGCAGTGGGTTAAACCCCTGTGCCGGCAGGACTGAAGACCGACAGGTCGCAGGTTCGAATCTGGGGAGAGGCAGATGAGCTCCCTCTATCAGCTTCAGCTCCTTATGCGGGGACATGAGAGAAGCCTCCCACAAGGATGTTGAATGCAGGGCTTCTCCTCAACCAATTGATTAGCAGCTCTGTGAAGTAGGTTGGACTGAGAGATAGCAACTGGCACAAGGTCTCCCACTGACCATCATGGCTAAGCAGGGATCTCAATCTGAATCACTCTAGTATGCTCTAACTATTAACTACACAACAATGCCTTGGTCCAGCTGTACCCTTACCGGTCAGACCAGTATTCTTTCAGATATTTCTTGGTGAGGTCAAGAACACCTTCAAACCACTGCCAAAATGTGAATCCTCTGCTAGGAAGAAGTTCCTGTAAATATCAAAATGAAATGTGAGAAGGAGGAAACCCTGTAAGCCCACTTTCCTGGCATTCCAGACTTCTTTACAAAAGCAACTCAATTACCTTATTGAACTGTGACCATGATACTGAGCGCTGCTGGAATTCCTCAGGACTGGCGCCACTGTCACCAAAGATCTTCTGGGCCAGGAAGAAGTAGTGCTCCTTCAGCAGACCTTTAGTGGTCTGTACCTCAGCCATGAACTTCTGATTCAGAGTCTCACACATGTCATCCCAACTAACACGTTCAGCCACCACGAAAGGGATGCGATTCTGAAATGAGATAGATGGACAGAACATCACACCACGCACACAGTAGAACTATTTTCTCTCTCTTAACCTTTTACTATCTTCCCCAGCAACCTAACAGAAAACTGCAGGAAAGAAATAGCTATACTAAGACCAGAACTGCTAATTTCACTACCCAGTCTTTTCCCTCTGACTTTACGCTAAATTTAGTCAGTAATAATAATAATCATCATAATAATAATAATCAATTACTTACAGCAGCTGCAAAAGCATTGTCCCATAAGATGGTGGCTTTGGCGTTATTGTCTTGATTGCCATGTACTATCACAACAATGGGCAAGGACAGGGCCTGGAATGGAAATAATACAAAAGGGAAATATTCTGTAACCACCAAATACTTTTTTATAGCTAACTTGAAGGGGAAATCTATGTAAATCAAAAAGTCCTCTCCTCTTTCTCCTAAAGGACGGTGCGAAGACGAGTCTTAATGAAGAAGTCTTTATTTGCCAGCCAGCAAATGGTGATAATTTAGCTCAAGCTCAAAAAAACTGCTGCACCCTCCTCTGGGGTTGCAGCTTTTTATCGCTTTATAACAGATCAAAAAAGTACATTTTAATTGGTTATAAAGTTTGTCTTTTCTCACTATTGGCCCACTTTCACTTATTGTATTTCTATTGGCTTACAGTACAAAGCAAAACAAACAACTGAACTAGCTATGTTGCAAGGTCTCAAGTGCTGGGTGACTGCCAAATACCAGTCTTATCTTTTAGTCTCGAACATAAGAAATTGGGACGGGGAGCAGCCTTTCTAAAACTACATGCCCTTCAAAAGTATCACCCCAAAATACCTGTCCATTTACTGATCATGGCATTCAATGGGCAGTCTTAGAAGCCTCACAGCAGAGGGCTACAACAAACACCACACTGTATTTCCTGATCCCAAACAGGGGTGCTCTGCTCAGGGCCCCAACCAACTCGAATCAGCTCGTCTTTGGGGGTCAGAAGAAAGCTATCCATCCAAAGTCTTGCTCTACTGCACTCAAGTGTGCCAAAGGGATTAAGTTTGGGACTGGCTACATATTTGCTGACATATTTTTTAACACTTTCACAGGCACATTATGTAAGGAAACATGAAATGGTCTTCTCAGTGGTGGCTTGCAAGCAGTGGAACTCCTACATTTGTCTTCTCTATGGTCTTCTTTTGCCAGTAGGCAACATTCCCATTGTTCAGATAAGGTTTTGACTACTAACTGGGGGAATGTGGAAGGGTGTGTTGTGCCCTTTTATTGTATTTGGTCCTCACTGTTCAAAAAACTGCATACTTTTGAATGGTTTTAAGTTAGACCTTATTCATTTAATAGCTTTCAATAATTAAAAAAATATGAATGATTTTTGGTTGTATTTGTTTTAATCTGCTTTGTGAACCACCCCAGATGATGTAATCTGTGATGGGTAGAATATAAAAGGTAAAGGTAAAGGTTTCCTCTTGACAATAAGTCTAGTCATGTCTGACTTTGGGTGGTGGTCCTCATCTCCATTTCTATGCCGTAGACACCTCCTAGGTCATGTGACCGGCATGACTGCATGGAGTGCCATTACCTTCCCACAGAAGCGGTACCTATTGAACACATTTGCATGTTTTTGAACTGCTAGGTTGGCAGAAGTTGGGACTAACACCGGGAGCTCACCCTGCTCCTGGATTTGAATCGCTGACCTTTCAGTCAGCAAGTTCAGCAGCACAGCAGTTTAACTTACTCCATCACTGGGGAAGAATATATATAAAGTAAAATGAAATAAGGAGCCCCCGGTGGCACAGTGGGTTAAAGCGCTGAGTTGCTGAGCTTGTTGACTGAAAGGTCGCAGGTTCGAATCCGGGGAGCGGCATGAGCTTCCGCTGTCAGCCCCAGCTTCTGCCAACCTAGCAGTTCGAAAACATGCAAATGTGAGTAGATCAATAGGTACCACTCTGGTGGGGAGGTAACGGTGCTCCATGCAGTCATGCTGGCCACATGACCTTGGAGGTGTCTATGGACAACGCTGGTTCTTTGGCTTAGAAATGGAGATGAGCACCACACCCCAGAGTCGGACATGACTGGACTTAATGTCAGAGGGGAAAAAAAGAAATAAATAAAATGAGGCATTCCAGAGAACCATTTATTTCTGAAATCCCAACTCCTCTATTCCTATCTCCTTCAACCATATCCCACAAGGGTTGGATTCCCTCATAGATCCTTCGCATTTAAATTACCTTTAATACTCTCAACATTAAACTCAGACTCACTCAAGCATACTAGAATGTACCAGACCTTCAACTAAAGCTGACGCCTCAGAACATTATGGCTGCCAGACTATGCATTCCCATGCCCCAAATTTACCTCTCTAGGATATAAAAATATGTATTTAAGGGCAGGAAAGGAGAAAGGAAGAGGTGACGAATAGCACTCGATCATGTTTCTGAGGTCTTTGGGAAATCCTTTTTTGCCATGGCTTAGAACAATGGTCCTTGGTACATAAGAAACTCCATGCCATTCAGAGAGTGAGATAACTCAAGCAGAGTTGTTACCTGCAGGTGGAAGTTGGTTCTGTTGGGCCCAAGGCACAGACTGACACTAAAGAGAACAGCACACTTCTCTTCAGTTACAGATTCGGTGCTCTTGCGGTCGCAGCGCTTGATCTTCTTGAGAAGCTGAAAGAAGAGAAAGGTAATTTTTATTTTATTTTATCCACATCCCACCTATCATCAGGATAGAGTGTATTAGGAATCAGTCTCAGAAGAAATGACTACCAATGTGCTATCAGAGGCTTTCATGGTCAGAATCACTAGGTTGCTGTGAGTTTTTTGGGCTGTATGACCATGTTCTGGAAGCATTTTCTCTTGACGTTTCGTCCACATATATGGCAGGCATCCTCAGAGGTCGTGAGAAACATCAGGAGAGAATGCTTCTAGAACATGACCATACAGCCTAGAAAACTCACAGCAACCCAATGACTACCAAGTTTACCAGGAATAAATGCCACAGTAGCTGTACTCCTAGACAGCTAGTTGAGCTTCTGTGGGAATTCAGCTCAACACTTTAGCTCTCTGCTTGCCCAGAACTCCCTTGAATCACAGAGCTACCATGGTTCAGTCATATCCAAACCTATTCAGGGGCAGCTAACTAAGGGTGCATCAGATTCTCAATCTGATTTAGATTGAATCAATCTGAATTTCTTTATTCTTGCCACTGTTGTGTATCTTCAAATTGTTTCTGACTAACAGCAATACTAAGATGAATCTTTCATGGGGTTTTCTTGGCAAGAGTTGTTCAGAGGAGATTACCCTTGACTTCTTTTCAGGCTTTTCCTGAAAGCCTTTTGTTTTTCCTCAGGACTGAGAGAGTGTGACTTCCCCAAGGCCACTTACTAGGTTTCCATATCCGAGTAGGAATTTGAATTGTCGTTTCTAGATTCCTAGTCTAGTGCACCAACCACAACACCACACTGACTCGTTGTTTAATTTTTCCTTCAAGAAAGAGCAACAATTTCCTGAAAATGGGTTGTTGTAAGTTTTTTGGGCTGTATGGCCATGTTCCAGAAGCTATTCTCTCCTGAGGTTTCAACTGCATCTGTGACAGGCACCTTACAACAACCCAGTGATTCTGGCCATGAAAGCCTTCAACAATACAATTCTCTAAAAAGCACAGGATGGACTAAGAAATTTCTCCCTGTTGAACCAGCTTTCTTCCTCCTACAGTATAGTTTGTTATTGTTTTAATTAGAAGAGTACTCTCTCATTCTCTCCTTGATGCACATGTAGTCAAGGATACACTAACTCTAACCTTAACCCTACCCATATCCTCCTCTTCCTCGCTTCTTGGCCTTTTGGCTAAGATCAAGTGTAGTATCCTGAATAATAGTTTGTAGTGTCACATAGCGTTCTAAACTTATGTGTGGTATAACCTGATCTGAGGATTGCTGGCTGGAAGGGAAGTTATCTTGAAGAGTTTTAGGAAGATCAGGGCTTCCTGAATGAAGTCAGAGAATGTAAATAAAGAACTCTGTCAACAAATTGAACATTAGGAAGAACTTCCTGACTGTGAGAGCCGCTCAGCAGTGGAACTCTCTGCCCCGGAGTGTGGTGGAGGCTCCTTCTTTGGAAGCTTTTAAACAGAGGCTGGTTGGCCATCTGTCAGGGGTGCATTGAATGCAATATTCCTGCTTCTTGGCAGGGGGTTGGACTGGATGGCCCATGAGGTCTCTTCCAACTCTATGATTCTATGAAAACAGGCCAAAGACAGGAGGTAAAGAGCTTTATGTCGGTTGCATCCCAGTTTGCAATCCATGCCAATCTTGCCCCCACATGTAGCTGTGCTTCCTGTCACCACAGTCCATTGCTACACTTACCATATTTTTGAAGAGAGCACAGCAGGCATTGCTTGTGGCATTTGTCTCCAGAGGTGCTGTGTTGTTGACAATTTCTCCACTGCTTTCACTAAAACCGAAAGAGAAAAAAAAAACCCATAGATATGTACTTGAGCAACTGTGAGACGTGGTTAATAACGTGGCTTGCAACACACACAACTTTCCTTCCCAGAATTAATGTTGAACCTCTACCCAATTTTGGTAGCTCCTGGATTAAACAGACACATATACAGACATTGATCAAAGTCTTGCTTTGCGTGATGTGGTAGGCACAGGCCTTGCATGGTTTTAAAATACTAAGAAGGGGATGATGCTATGGACAATAATAGATGACTGTATCAGTACTGGGGGCAAATCAGTATTCTTGCACGTAAACAAATCTTAGAATGATGACACATATTTAGATGCTTATATGGTATTACGCATATTATTGTCAGTTTTTCTAAGAAACAATTGCAAAATGTCTGTGAGTATGGAGGTAAGTAGGAAGCTTCACCCCCTCTAATTCCTAGAATCTGACAGAGGCAGGGATAATTTTTTCCTCACGTCATTGTTTCATGTCTTCCTTCTATTACCATTTATCACAGGCCCTCACTTGCTATATGGTATGTCATCCTCTTTTTTAGCAACTCTGACAAGAGATTCAATGTATACAACCTTGACACAACTGTGGGAAGTGGAACTTGACACATAATTATCCAATTTTATCCAATTTTACAGCTGCTTGGCTACTTTTCCAGCCATAACTCAAAGTAATTAAACATAAAAAGATGGATTCCACCTGGTCTCTACACTGAATCTAATTTGGTCTACAATAGTATTTAGCTTGCTCATTATCTATGGTAGTAGGAATATGGCCTATCAATTGGATGTAGAATCAATAATGAAATAAATCTACACTGCCATATAATGCAATTTGAACAAGATTATATGAGTCTACACTGCCATATAACCCAGTTCAATCTGCATTATATTGGGACATGGAACAATGGTTTCAAAATGCAGGAAAAATATGCCATCTAAATATTGGGGAAAAGTTCTTGATGGAAGTGTGGCAGTGGAATATGCTGCCTCAGAATGTGGTGGGCCTTTTCTTCTGGAGCTTTTAAAGCAGAGGTTGGATGGCCATCTGCCAGAGGTGCTTTGATCATGTGTTTCTTGCATGACAGAATGTGGTCGAACTGGATGGCCCTGGAGGGTGACTTCCAACTATAATTCTATGAAATACACACTATTTTATTGCCTAGACAGAGCAAGTTTGACAACAGAAGGCAAATAAAATGATGCAAAATCGATCTATGATAGCTATCTTTCAGGATCCCGGGGTGTCCATTTGGTCAAAGGAAACACTGCCTCCTCCATGTTGGGGAGAGTGGTGGGACATGCAGCCTATGAGCTAAACGTGCCCTCCACTGTATTGTCCTGCCCCATTTTCCAAACTGTGTCACAAAAACCTGTTCTCTGTAAGACTTTACAGAGCCAAACTTTGCTGTATGTAAAACTCAACTTCAACATACGACAGCAGCTATGTAAATCGGAAGCCCTTCCACCCAGGCTTTATGGACTCCCCAAATCCATAAGGACTCCACCCCACTCAGACCAATCGTGAGTGCCATTGGGTCCCCCTCATATGACTTAGCCAAATTTCTTGCTGCACAGTTACAAAGCCACATTGGGCTCACAACACACTACATCAAGGACTCAGCCCATTTCATTGAAAAAATCAGCAATCTCAAGCTAAATACAAATGACAAACTGATCAGCTTCGATGTGGTGTTTCTATTTACCATGGTCCCAGTTGCAGACACCATGGCACTCATCAACCAGAGGTTCCCAGAAGACATCACGGCGCTGTTTCACCATTGCCTCACCACCAGCTATTTTCAGTGGGACAATGAATTCTACGAACAGAAAGATGGAGTAGCTATGGGGAGCCCTCTCAGCCCAGTCATAGCTAACTTCTACATGGAACAATTTGAAAAACAAGCTCTTGAAACAGCAACCAAAAAGCCCACTATATGGTTCAGATATGTGGATGACACTTTCACCATTTGGAGCCATGGAGATGAAGAACTCAACAGGTTCCTGGAACATCTTAACAGCATCCACCCTAACATCCAGTTCACTATGGAAAAAGAAAAGGAAGGAAGACTGCCTTTTCTAGATGTCCTAGTCATCCGCAAACCAGATCAACAATTGGGTCACACCGTTTACAGAAAACCCACACACACAGATAGATATCTACATAAAAACTCCAACCATCACCCAAGTCAAAAAAGAAGCACCATTAAAGCCTTGGCAGACCGTGCAAAAAGAATCTGCGAAGCCCACCTCCTTCAAGATGAACTGAACCACCTCAACTGGGCTCTACAGGCCAATGGATACTCCACCTCAGACATCAGAAGAGCTGCAAGACCAAGAACAAGCCACGAGAGTAAAGATGAAGATCCACCTAGAGGAAAAGTGTTCCTGCCATACATCAAGGGAACCACTGATCGCATAGGGAAGCTGATGAGGAAACACAACATACAAACAATCTACAAACCCACCAAGAAAATCCAACAAATGCTACGTTCAGCAAAGGACAAGAGGGATCCTCTCACCTCTGCAGGAGTCTACCGTATACCATGCAGCTGTGGACAAGTCTACATAGGGACCACCAAACGCAGCGCCCAAACAAGAATCCAGGAACATGAAAGGCACTGCAGACTACTCCAACCAGAGAAATCAGCCATAGCAGAGCACCTGATGAACCAACCTGGACACAGCATTTTATTTGAGAACACAAAAATGCTGGACCACTCTCACAACCACCATGTCAGACTACACAGAGAAGCCATTGAAATCCACAAACATGTGGACAATTTCAACAGAAAGGAAGAAACCATGAAAATGAACAAAATCTGGCTACCAGTATTAAAAAATTCTAAAATTAAAACAGCAGAGAGAAAAACAGGCAGGGACATCTAATCACCTTTCAAGAAGAGTTTGCTCCAGGCACTGTCAGCCCATTGTATGCTAATCAAGGTGGTCAGTTGAAAAGATTCACACCTAGCCCAACTTACAAAAGCCTTTTGTCTCACCCTGGTCATTCCACAGATATATAAACCCCTTTTCCCAGCTCCAGCAGACCTCACCTCTGAGGAAGCTTGCCATAGATGCAGGCGAAACGCAGGAGAAATGCCTCTAGAACGTGGCCATATAGCCCGAAAAAACCCACAAGAACTTTGCTGTGATGTTGGTGCCAAAAGCACTTCCTCTTTTCTTCGATTCCTCCCCACTCTATATGGGAAATGACAGTTTTTCCTCCTTTCCAGAAACCTTGCCCTATGAAGAAGGCAGACAATCTAGGCATATCTGCAACACAGAGGACCACTTGGGGGCAAAACTTCCTTTTTAGGGAATTTTGAGACAACTAAGTGTTCAAGAGAAAGGTAAATCGTTACAGTTCACTTTGCAGTTTGTTCACTTTGCCTCATGCCCTACCCATTACAAAATGTAGATAAAAGAAAAAGAGAAATGCCAAAATAGACTGGTAATACAGCTCCACTCACCTGAAGACACCTCCAGAAGGACTAGTGGTCAATTCACGTGCTTGTTTCTCTGTCACAATGTCAGCGGTGACTATGAAGGATGTGTGTGGAGTCTTGAGCAAGAGAGGCCCCAGCAAGAAGCGGACAGTGGCTTGAAACTTGGTTTGAGTCTTCAGAACTTGAGGAGGCTGTTTGTCCACCAGGAAGGAACTGAAGGGGAGATACAAGTGGAGTCAGGGGGATCTCTGGCCCCTTCCACACAGCTATATAAAAACTACATTATATGGCAGTGTGGACTCAGATAACCCAGTTCAAAGCAGATATTGTGGATTATCTGCCTTGATATTCTGGGTTATATGGCTGTGTGGAAAGACCCCTAGCCTCCGTGGCCAACCAACAGATCAAGAGGAGGGACAGAGTAGAAATAATTAATTGATGACTCCAAGGTAAAATATGGCCCCTGCAGCAGAACCCCTTGCCCATCACTGCTTGTCAATCTAGAGCTAAGAGTGGAATATCAAAGAAATCATAGCTGTGGCAACAGATTTGTTTTTAGTCTATCTTGAAATGAATAGGTAAACTCTGCTCACAAATTCTCCATCTGCTCCATTATAAAACCCCCCCCCCCCCCCAATTTTATTGACTAATGGATGGAGAATTGAAAGTAGCAAAAATGTTGGTGACAGGGAAGGGGAATAAGGAAAAAAATGTGTAAAAGAGATCAAGGGGATTGGCCTGTCATCTCAGAGATTCAAGCATAAGCAGCAGCATCTTACTTCTTCAACAATGTCTTACTTAACTGACAAACTGTTTGTGTATCTGATATCCACAGCTCGTATACTTCTAGCTAAAGTATGGAGACAAAGGGTAATACCATCGGAGGAAGAGTGGATAGAGAAGATAGTAGATATAATGAATATGGACCACCTGACGTATATCCTATCAGTCAAACGTAACATGCCTGTATCAGCAACAAACTGGGCCCCTGTCAAAGAATGGCTTGGGGAAAGGAAGATAAAGTTATTAATCTGTTAACATCTAATAACAAGTGGTCTAGAACCACACAGACAGACTTAGTTAGGAAAATAGGAATAGCAAAAGACAATAGATGAAAAAGGGAGGCGATTGCAAGAAAATGACAGTACTAGATGAAGGATTTGCAAGAAGTTATAAACTATCGATATTTGGGGGTACAAGGATACACCTCTGCATGTATGAGCAAAGGTCTATACAGTATCAGGTATAAAACGACTAGAGGAGTAAGATGTAATATTAGAATAAGAAGATAGAAAGTAAAAGGCAAGGAAGAAAGAAGATAGAAAGAAAAGAACAAGGAAGAAGGGGAAAAAAAGGGAGAATACACTCCCTCACATACCAGAGTAGAGGGGGAGGGGGTCGGCGGCCAATGCTGGCTTTGCTTTTTAAAGTCTTCTCTATATGTAATTTGTATGACACGTTAGTATATAGCTAGTTTAGAGTTGTGTATTTGTATGATAATGTATGTCCTGATGTTTTCTGTTTGTCTTGTCTCTTTTCTATCATTGTAATAATAAAAATTCTAATAATTTTAAAAAAACAACAATGTCTTACTTAACATTTCTACTGTGACAGTATTTCTTATGGCCCTTCTACACATGCCATAAAACCTGGAAGAGACTGGGATAAAGGGGGTGGGGGCTAAATGATGTTTCACAAAAGTACACACTGAAATAGGTTAATGGCTGAAAAGCATGTGTTTAAAAGGTGCACTTAAAACCCAATTCTACCCCAAAATTTTAATATTAGCATGATTGTATATCCCTGCAGGCATGGAAAACATGTGACTTCCTTCCTATACCCTGGTGTAAACTTCTCCAGAGCATGTGCATGTTTTAAAAGCCCGAAACAGTTGATCAGGAATGTCAAAAAATGGAGCTACGGATACATAGGTGGCTATATGGAAGCACAACTGGAAAGCAATTACAAATAGAACTCTGCAACTATTCCTTTGTTCCGATTTTTATGATATTAAACAGAGCTTGAATTTATAGTTGGATAAGGAGAGAGAATAAGAAATCAACAACCCAGCTTACCAGCTGTTAGGAACTGTGGGAGCTGAAGTCTAAAACACCTGAAGACCCCAACGTTTGGAACCACTGATGTAGAGGGACATCTCTTAATATTACACAAAGCTAGACACTAGTTGTAATGGATTAGACCTGCTACTGCCACCCTGTATAAAATTCCTTAAAGACACAGACAGGAGGCAGTTAGCACTTGCTTCTTGAACTTCTCAGCTAGGCCTCCACATAGATGTGTGATTAGTCTTGAGGCTATTTGCTGGCTCACAATAATGGGTTTGAGATCCATGATTTCTGGATTCTATTTTTGAATTCCAGAATAAACTTGTAAAGATGTGTAAATTTTGGGACTGATGAACCAAAACCAATAATTCTACCCCAGCTCACATGGACATCACTTCTTTGGGTTTCCAAATCAAGCCTCAGACCTACTCCTTCCATTTAAAGTTCTTGAAACTCACTTATAACATCTGCTTTGCATCTTAAAATGAAACATGGTACTGTTTAATAAAGGAAGGACCATGTTTTGAGGACAAAGAAAGACACTGTATGCAATAGCTTCCTTACTTTTTGATGAAGGCATTGAATATGTTGTCCAGACGTTCTTGAAGAGAGGACTGAAGCTCACCACCAACGGCAACCAATTGTATGCGGAGCTGGAAGCAAATGTTCACCAAACTTTCAAGCCTGTCAAGAAACATGCCATGTTGGAAATTATTTCCTCCCAATCAATATATGACATCCAATCCAGGATGACACAAGCTCCAGGAATCAAGTAGATTGGCTAAAGAGTTATTGCAGTTGTATTTATAAGCAGAAGAGTTTTGTCTTTTAAATTTTAGAAGAGCATCTGAAGATGGCAGCAAGCAAGTAGGAACTGGATCTTAAATGAAAATTTGACTGGCTGTCTAAAAGGATGTAGACAAAACCAGCTGCTATGCTTATCAGTGTGTAATTTTCAATTTCATTGTGTATAGCTAAATGTTCTTGTCACTATTTATTCATGAAACTGGTTCTCTCTATTTTATCAGTTTGATACTTATTTATTTATGCAATGCTTTTGACACTAAATAAATAAATGAGACCGGTAATATCCAGAAATTGTTTGCAGAGTATCATCATCATCATCATCATCATCATCTATTTATATAGTTCCATCACTATACATAGCACTTTCCATGTTAAAACCCTCCATCAAAACAGTTCCCTGTCTTCTAGTTTATAATCTAAATAAGACAAAAGAAAAAGGGGACGAAATTATGTCCAGCAGGAACTGCCAGTTCTTCCTTCCCTCTGATGTCAGAACAGGAGCAGTTGAGATGGAGGAAAAGCCCTTTGTTGTGTTCAACCTTTGACATAACGCAAGGTTATTACATTGAATGAGCAACCGAACACACAGAAATATTCAAAGGAATACTGTCACTAATGTCAGCAGGAAGATGTATATTCCTTGGCCCAAAGTGCAGATCCACAACATCACCATATGTGTAATTTTGGTTCTGCAATCTTGAACTGAATGCACAGATTGCTCACCAGTTAAAAATGTCGAACCATTTCAGCAGAGGAACTTGAGTGCCTTTGGATAGTACTCAGAATCTTCAATCCCTTTATATGGATCTATGAGAGCTCTAAGATCTTCAGAACAAGGCAGAAAACCTTCTTGGTGTCTGCTCCTTTCTCCAGCAAGTAAAATATACTTATTTTACCAGAAATTTTGAAATTAGCTTTCAATGATAGCTTTCTTTGCCAATCGAAGGGTGGGTCTCTTAATGGATGTTAATTTTTTTACTTCAGAATATTTGTTTGTAATGATAACATTTATATTTATACTTATAAAAGGCTGTTTTTGGCTTGGGATCGATTTTGTTTTTAATAAATTGTAAGATGCTTTGAGCCTCACTAGTGGGAATAAGTTGGGATATAACTGTATTAAGTAAACAAGAAAACAACAGGACTCTAGCCAATAACTGCAGCCAAAGAGATAGCTTGGAAAATGTGATGCCACTTTTCCATTTTGTTACACACCATTTTGTTAATCTTAGTTGTTTATTCAAGATGCACTATTTGTAGCTTTGACTGGAAAAACTCTGATGGTAACTGAAATTAGGCAACAAACTGTTATTGAATTACTCGCCTCTCTTGTAGTGGACTCAAGTCCTCTTCAAAGGGAATTCCATTCCCAGCCAGCTGTTGCTGCCTCTTCCAGATCATAAGTCTTGCCAGCACAGCTTTCTGTGCCTCTTCTAATTCACTGATCGTATTCAGGAACAGAGTCTGAAGGCTTTGCAGAGACTATGAGAGAGAAAAAAGTTTTGGAAAAGAAAAATGAAAACGTGCTCCAGCATAATAAGCTGGAGAGCTCAATGTAGTGAACGTCATGTGGAGAGCTGAATGCATTATCTATGTGTGGTTATGAAAGACAGGTTTCCCAATCTATAATATGATCCAGAATCCTGAAAGCAAGTTCCAACATTTGAATGTTTGCAGGAAGTGGGTGCAGAGACACAAAACCCCATATTTAACTACATTATAGTCATACTTTTTTTGCCCTACAGGCCTCTCCCGATAGCCAAAGGAAACCCTGTAGACCTTGTTAACCTGTACTTGCCAGCAGGAGTGTGATTATTATGCAAGGAATACAAATCTATCACCACCGAGGCCCAAAAATGGGGATACAACTATTACACAATGGCAACAACGGCGGCAACAACAACAACAACAACAACATCCTCATACCCTCAGCTGCTGCAAGAAAATCACACAGACAGACTACAAACAGAGGCACAACTCTGTGGCCTAAATGTTTCACTGGAACTTATGTCACAAGTACCACCTGCCAGCAGTAAAGAATTGGTGGGATCATAAACCTGCAAAGATAGTGGAAAATGAACATGCAAAAATACTGTGGGACTTTTGAATCCAGACTGACAAAGTTTTGGAACACAAGACACCAGATATCATGATTGTGGAAAAGAAAAAGTTTGGATTACTGATGTCGCCAAAACAGGTGACAGACAAATTGAGGAAAAACAACAGGAAAAACTCAGCTGTTACCAGGACCTCAAAATTGAACTGCAAAGGCTCTGGCATAAACCAGTACAGGTGGTCCCAGTGGTAATCCGCACACTGGGTGCTGTGCCAAAAGATCTCAGCCGGCATTTGGAAACAATAAACATTGACAAAATCATGATCTGTCAACTGCAAAAGGCCACCTTACTTGGATCTGCACTCATCATTCGAAAATATATCACACAGTCCTAGACGCTTGGGAAGTGTTCGACTTGTGAATTTGTGATACGAAATCCAGCATATATATCTTGTTTGCTGTGACATACTGTCTTTTTGTGTCAGTAAAATAATAATAATAATAATAATAATAATAATAATAATAATACTTTATTTATAACCCGTCCTATCTTCCCAAGGGGACTCAGGGTGGTTTCCAGCGGAAATAACATAATGGTAAACATTCAGTGCCAAAAATGGCAAGTAACAAGTAAAAGAATCTATCTTTCTTCGCTCAACCTTCCCTATGGTCCAGCTCTCACATCCATAGGTGACAAACTTAATTAAGATTATAAAACAGAAACTTAAATAAACATAACATAATACCACACACACATGTACAACATAATAAGCTCAATTATGCAATAATATACAGTGCATCTGTATAAACAAGATATTACCAATAGAAAGAGAGGTTAGCTCATGATTCAGAACAATATTTATAAGCTAGCGTCAAGACTTAGATAGTAAAAAGACCATACATGAAACTTTAAAACAAATGTATGAATACAAAAGAACCAAGTCTGAGGAAGTGACAGAATATCATATCATATCATACTTACATTTGTGTGCAGGTTCTCTTGCATAGGAAACTGTGGGTCCAGCATCTGTAGCTGCAGAACTGAGAACCACAAAGTGAAGATTAATATTTGAAGATTTTTAGGCAAAGGTCAAATAGTTTCTAAAGGGTTTACAATTATGGAGGGTCCCAAGGACACATCACCCTATTTTGTACAGCGCAGTGCTCCCAAAGTGAACTCCCAACTCAACATCATAGAAGGATGCATAGTACATCCTTGTTCTTTTTTAAGCCACAAAACAATTGGTGGTTGGGAGTGCTCTTGGGATCATGCTGGAGTGCTTAGAAAAGTAGATGTAACCCACAGGACACAAACTTCTGAACCTTGATGTAAATGCTAGGTCACTATTTTCTGCCTGGCTCACAAAGGTCAGCTTGTCCCAAATGTCTGTTGTTGTCCATTCATTCAGTCATTTCCGACTCTTGGTGACCTCATGGACTAGCCCACGCCAGAGCTCCCTGTCGGCCGTCACCACCCCCAGCTCCTTCAAGGTCAATCCAGTCACTTGAAGGATGCCATCCATCCATCTTGCCCTTAGTCGGCCCCTCTTCCTTTTTCCTTCCATTTTCCCCAGCATCATTGTATTCTCTAAGCTTTCCTTTCTTCTCGTGATGTGGCCAAAGTACTTCATGTTGGCCTCTACTATTCTTCCCTCCAATGAGCAGTCGGGCTTTATTTCCTGAAGTATGGACTGGTTGGATCTTCTGGCGGTCCAAGGCACTCTCAGAGCTTTCCTCCAACACCACAGTTCAAAAGCATCTATCTTCCTTCGCTCAGCCTTCCCTATGGTCCAGCTCTCACATCCATAGGTGACTACGGGGAATCCCAAATGTCTATGTTAGTAGAAAGGAATGGAAAACCTGGCCAAGCTGACTAGGGGGATTCTGGGAGTTCTAGAACCAAGTAACTTTTCCAAACTTGGACTTGAAGCAATTTGTTTTCCAGCTACTTTTTTCTGGCATTGTGCATGTGGTGATCACACACAGTGATGGGAGGGGAATGTGTGCTGAGTGACATGTCCCCATCATCCTGATTCAATGGGTCCATCAATACTATTTAGTGGCACAACTTTCACTGCCCTTGACTAATGGCTATTGGAGGTGTCTCCATAAACACCAGGGGCATAAGATGCAATTTTGGATATGTTATGGGCTCCTCTGCCTCATAACCTGGACTGAATAGCTAAAGGTGATAGCAGCATATCAACCTGCAGAGTAGTACAGTAGCACTCCTCCTCCTATCCTATTTACTCTACCCAGCAACCAACTACATTCGTAAATGTTTTGTGGATAGATTTTCTGCTGAGAAAATAGAAAAATCAATACTATGCGTTCACTGCAACAATTTTCTGCATGAATGAATCAATTATGGGATCATAGCTTTAAAATCAATCAGACCAATGATCTATTTAGCCCAGTGATGGGGAAAGTTTTTTCCTTTAAGCTTCTGAAGTATCCTATACTTCCCTCCCTGGAAGAAGAAATATTTTCACTGCTTTTCCACCTCCAGAATTTTTATTTTGTCCATAAAATGCTCCCCCCCCCCCACAAAGGAAACAAACTGGAAGTTGAATTCCTTTATCCTTCCTGTTTACAAAAAGAACTTGCCCCAGAGAATCCATGTGTCATGTGTTCAATTTTCTTAGGTTTCCTTTTTCAAGAATAGCTCCCTTGCCCCATGTGGTACAGTGTGAGGATAAGGCCATCCAGTGTATTATGGAAGTCCAATATACCACCTACCCTTCAAAAATACCAATTTCTCCTCCAGCTTAACCCCGGTGGTGCAATGGGTTAAATCCTTGTGCCAGCACGGCTGCTGACCGAAAGGTCAGCAGTTCACATCCATGGAGTGGGATGAGCTCCTATCTGTCAGCTCCAGCTTCTCATGCAGGGACATGAGAGAAGCCTCCCATAGGATGGTAAAAAATCCGGTCATTCCCTGGGCAATGTCCTTGCAGACAGCCAAATCTCTCACATCAGAAGCGACTTGCAGTTTCTCAAGTCGCTCCTGACATGCAGAAAAAATGCTCCAGGGTGTTAGACAGGAATCTTTTCTAGACCTACCAGGAGTTAAAAACCTAGAAGCACCAGATCCCATTTGATCTTGGAATTTAAACAGGGGGCCCTTCCACACAGACATAAAACCCAGAATATCAAGGCAGATAATCTACAATATCTGCTTTGAACTGGAATTTCTGCCAGATAATCCAGTTTTTACAGCTGTGCGGAGCGGGGGGGGGGGGGGGGGCAGGAGAGCCAGCTATAATTAGTACTTCCATGGGAGACTACCAATGAATGCCAGGTGTTGCAAGCTATATTTCCAGGGGAGGAGCTTGGAAATACAGCTTTTTCTGGAAAAATCACCTCTGAGTATTACTTAAGAAAACTCTATGAAATGATTCCATAAGTCGACATATGACACACATACACTTGGAGTTCCTTGGCATGCACTGATGGCTCCCCCCCCCCCCCCCCCCCCCCCAGTAGTCCCATCAGAGACATTCAGGGTGGTATGATCAACAGTTTTAACAGTCTGATATAAAAGAAAAAAGGTGTGTGCATGGGTAGCTTTTCAGAGGGAAAAACTTTGTGGAAATATATTTGTTATGTTTTGTTTGCTAGATCTACTCTCAAAATTAAAATGAGGAGCTGCCATCATGATGATGATGATGATGATGATTATTATTATTATTATTATTATTTATATGCTGCCTTTTGACAGAGACTGTGACCCAAGGTGCTCTACTGTTCACATTTCAAACTCAATATTTAATCATTATATCAGCACACTAAGGTTCAACTTTCATGTGTGATATTGGCCATAGTAAGTTTCTTGAAGTCATACTTGTTTCCATCTGCTGTCATGACGAATACTGTGGAATGCACAGAATTTACCAGGTTCAAAAAGTTCTGCTCTCTCCTCTTATTTTCCAGTTGTGTGTTGATGGTATTGTGTGCCTTCAAGTCATTTCCAACTTAAGGCAACCCCAAGGTAAACCTATCATGGCTTTTCTTAACGTAATTTGTTAAGAGGTGTATTTTTTGCCTTCTGCTAAAGCTGACAGTGTGTGGCTTGTGCCCAAGGTCAAGTAGGGTTCCATATCTGAGTGAGGATTCGAATCCTAGTTTCCCAGTATCCTAGTCCAATACTCAAAGCACTGCAGCACACTGGCTCTTTTCCAGTTGTACTTGATATCAAACAATCCTACGAGTGCATCATCCTAGCCCTCCCACCCTATATCCTCACCTCTTGTACTGTTATTCATCTGCCTTGAACTCTCCTGGAGGGCCTGGATTTCTTGCACTCTGTACTGCAGTCGCTGGAGATTGAATTCAAACATCAGCTCTTCCCGCTGGCGGTGGACATAGAGAGGCACATGCTGGAACTACAAAAAGAAGAAACGGGACATGGTCACCCTGAAATTCATCTTTTACAGATTTGGGACAGGGTATGGACCAAGGGAAATCTCCAGAAAAGTATTAAAAACATTGCAGGAATTTTAAAAATCAAAGATACAATTAAAGGAAAAGGTAAGGGTAAAGGTCATGTCTGGCTCTGGGGGGTGGTCTAATCATGTCTGACTCCATTTCTAAGCTGAAGAGTGGGCATTGTCTGTAGACACCTTCTAGGTCATGTGGTCAGCATGATTGCATGGAGTGCCGTTACCTTCCCACAGAAGCAGTACCTATTGATCTACTCACATTTGCATATTTTCAAACTGCTAGGTTGGCAGAAGCTGGGATTAACAGCAGGAGCTCACCCCACTCCCCAGATTCAAACTGCCAACCTTTCAGTCAGCAAGTTCAACAGCTCAGCGGTTTAACCCACTGCACCACCTGGGGGCCGTAAAGAAACAATTGGAACCTTAATTATTTTTATTGGGAATGCCAAATAAATAAACAAAATCACTAAACTGCAAAGTATGGCACCATATGATAACTTCAGCACAAATGCTACATGCACATCACTAGAAAAAGTCAGACCTTCAAACTATAGAAAAATTGATAGTAAAAGTTTTTAGAGTGGTGGAAATTGATAAATTGGAAATCACAAACAAAGAAAAACCACACAAAAAACTTTAGCAAAGACTGGGCATGCTATTTCTTTATTATTTTTACAAAATGTAGAAAAGTTTATATAAAAGGCATCATAATTTAACATGTCAGATTTTATACATGACATTTTTTAATTGTAACTGGAAGATTGGAAAAAATACTGTAGGAAGAACAGAACGGTACATGTCTGTCTCCAACCCAAAGGATGTGAAGTCATTACAATGGGATGGGTGGGAGGAAGGAATAGCATAGTCATGTACAATCATTGTATGGATGTTAGGAAATATTGCATTTGTTTATCGGGAGTATCATGAGACTGACTGTGTATGGACTCCACTGCTCATGAGTTATTGTAGCATTGGAAGGCTAGGGTGAGGCCTCGGACCTTGATTAATTCTGCTTCTGAGAACAACAGCTGGAAGACCTCTTACCTTTTCCTGTACAGCTGCACGTTCTCCTCTTAAGATTCTTTTTACTGTCTCCACCAACTTCAGTGGCTCTCTTCGGTATCTGTTCTATAATTATTAGACAGAACACAAATACTGTTAAAACTTGTTACTAAACCTTTTTATACTGGAGTGGAACGTTTTTAAGACCAAACCAAAGTTCAGCAGGTTTAAAATGATTTTAATGATTTTATTGCTTTTGATTGTGTGTTTTAATATGTCCCATATTTAATTCTATTTTAATGTTTATACACATTAGGTCTTAATGTATACAATGTATATATTAAGACCTAATGTGTATAAACATTAAAATAGAATTAAATATGGGACATATTAAAACACACAATCAAAAGAAATAAAATCATTAAAATCATTTTGTATACAATGTATATAATGTATACAATGTATACATTAGGTCTTAATGTATGCATTTGAATTGTTTCCGTTTTGAGTCTCCTTGAGAGAAAGTGGGATACAAATACTATAAACAAACAAACAAACAAACTCCAATATTTGGATAATTCACCTCCAGAAAGCAGTCTGGCTTTGAAATTGCAAAGCCATTCAATGCTAATCAAGGCAACCAATGACAATATAGCCGGAAAAAACCTACAACAACCCAACCAATGGCAATGTTTACACTTGCTTCAAGCAGACAAGAGTTCTTTCTCCCACCCTTGACATTCCGCAGATATATAAACCTCACTAGCCTAGTTTCTAACAGACCTCACAACCGATGAGGATGCCTGCCACAGATGCCAGCAAAACGTCTGGAGAGAATGCTTCTGGAACATGGCCATACAACCCGGAAAACTTATAGCAACCCAGTGATTCCAGCCATGAAAGCCTTCGACAAAACAACAGAATAATTTTCAAGTGTGTACTCATACTAGAAGGATAAAAAACCATACAAAAGGGGGGGGGGGAAACATAAATGAAACTATAAAGATTTTTACAAAACTGTATTTGAAACTGCAAGAGTACAAACATTTGTGAGAATGTTTGTACTCTTGCAGTGCCATAGATGGAGCCCCCAGTGGCACAGTGGGTTAAACCCCTGTGCCGGCAGGACTGAAGACCGACAGGTCACAGGTTCGAATCCAGGGAGAGCATGGATGAGCTCCCTCTGTCAGCTCCAGCTCCTCATGCGGGGACATGAGAGAAGCCTCCCACAAGGATGATAAAACATCAAAACATCCAGGTGTCTCCTAGGCAACGTCCTTGGAGACAGCCAATTTTCTCACACCAGAAGCGACTTGCAGTCTCTCAAGTCGCTCCTGACACGACCAAAAAAATGTGCCATAGATGTGGGCAAAACATCAGGAGAGAATGCTTTTGGTACATGGCCATACAGCCTGGAAAACTCACAGCAACCCAGTGATTATAGCCATGAAAGTCTTTGACAACACACCTCCAGACTGATTGAAATGGCATGTTGAGGACTACATGACAGCAGTGGGAAGAACCACATCACCCATTCATTCTCACACCCATTTGTCCTCTGTCATCGACCTCCGTACTGCTTCAATGTGGTACAGTCCTATCCCTTCAGGATTCTGCCAACCCATTCTACCACATGCAAAGACCTGGACAACATTTGCACAACAGAATTATATCATCCCGATTCCACTTTATGTGCCATGGCAACATTCTGTGAAATCCTGGGATTGGCAATTGAAGGTAGGTCCTATTGGACTTCAACCCAAGGAATCCCTCCCCTAATGCCCTGACCAAACTACAAAGCCCAGGAGTCTATAGGGGGGCAGTTAGAATGGAATCATTGGACTATAGTTGTGCATTAGGAATGGAACCCAGGTGTATCTATTTCTTTCTCTCTAGAGCTGCAACTTAAGTAGAGGCCATGCCTGAATGGGAATGTCTACATTTCTTCAACATCTCTCCCTGAACTTAGTGAAACAAGACCAAGTCTAAGTGAGTTCTGTCTATAAGCCACCTTGTTATTCATCATGTTAGTTAGAAAGAGTTGCTACTTCTTAAACATAAGAGATGGGTTGCTCAATGGTTGCACCTGTGCTGGTATCAAAAAGCGGAGAAAAGTGGATTATTTTTTTACTATAGTTCCCAGAAACACCATGGCTGAAGGATTATAGGAGAGATGGTTTAAAATACAGGTTAAGATAAGCTGTGCTGCTTCTTTCCTAACAGATTTTAATACATTGACAAGGGCCTTCACAATGTTGAAGCAGATCTAAGGCAGTCACTTCCCATGCTCCCAACAAAACAGGCAGGAGGTTGGTGGATCAGCACTGAGCAGTACTTTCAGTGGCATAGCTGAAGATGCTGTTGACATCTGCCTCCACTTCAATAGAGGTTGCTCCTTTACAAACCTCAAGGTTAGCTGTAACTTGAAGCATTGGGCCAGGAGAACCATTTTCATTGGCCAGGTCTTGTAACAGCTTCACCATGGCAGTCAGTAGTCTTGCAGCCTGAACAGCACAGAAAGAGTCTGATGTGTTGTTGATGAATTCCCTGGGAAAACCAGTTGTGAGATATGGGGGGAGAGGAGAAAGGAAAAATGAAATGTAGGGCAACAGTCATACCCTATCTCAGCTTTTTTTTCTTTTCAAAACCATACAAACTGATTGACATTGTCCAACACATCACCAAACATCAAATAAAGTGCTAGGAGCAGAATAATTTTGTCAGAGATGTAACTACTTCTGGAGCAATGGTTCCTAACTAGGGTAGTGTCCCATTAAATCACAATGGCACCCTGCACCCTTTCCTAGTTAAATATTTGGAAAGGGGAAAATGTGGACCATCAATTTAACTACATCAATCTCTGACAGGGACCATTTTACATAAAACTACAAGCCAGAAACCTTTGGTTACCAAAGGTAACTAAAGCAATATATGTAACTCTTTCACTCCAGCTTTGTTGTTTTGCTTGCACAAATGAGTAAAACATGTTAGAAGACAATAATATATTGTGACACTCAAATGAAAGATATTGGTTTGCTCACAGGGCCCTTTCACACTGCCCCGATATTCCAGGATCTGATCCCAGATTATCTGTTTATCCCAGATTATCTGGCAGTGGCGACTCATGCATTCCAGTTTAAAGCAGATAATCCGGGATCAGATGCTGGGATAAAAGGCAGTGTGGAAGGGTCCCTAGATAGGCTATAATGCATTGTTACAAGCTTACAAACATTGCTTGTTTAGGAGCAACCCCCCCCCCCCAAAAAAACCTTGGTCTTATATGTCCAATTTTGGGCACCACAACTGAAGGCAGATATTGACAAGCTGGAATGTATCCCAATGGGATTTTGGCCTGCATAAATGCATAAAATCTAGTGTCTAGATCCAGGGAAGTCATGCTACCGCTGTATTCTGCCTTGATCAGACCACACCTGGAATCACACTGTGCCCAAATCTGGGCACTGCAATTGAAGGGAGATGTTGACAAGTTGGAAGGTGTCCAGAGGAGGGCAACTAAAATGATCAAGGGTCTGGGGAACAAGCCCTATGAGGAGTGGCTTAAAGAGCTGGGCATGTTTCTCCTTCAGAAGAGAAGGCTGAGCAGAGACATGATGGGGGCCATGTATAAAGATGTGAGGGGAAGTCATAGGGAGGAGGGAATAAGCTTGTTTTCTGCTGCCCTGAGACTAGGACGTGAAACAATGGCTTCAAACTACAAGAAGGGCGATTCCACCTGAACATGAGGAAGAACTTCCGGACTGTGAGAGCTGTTCAGCAGTGGAACTCTCTGGCTCAGAATGTGGTGGAGGCTCCTTCTTTGGAGGCTTTTAAGCAGAGGTTGGATGGCCATCTGTTGGGGGTGCTTTGAATGCAATTTTCCTGCTTCTTGGCAGGGGCTGGACTGGATGGCCCACGAGGTCTCTTCCAACTCAATGATTCTATGATTCTCTATATTTCACTAAAATATAATTTATTAGTTTTATTAACTTATCCAAAAGGGGTGCCAGTTTGGCTACATGCAATAAGACACTGCTCATTCACAATGCCAATGTAAGCCAAGAATCCAAGGTCCCCATTTGTGTGAACATAGTTATTTTCTGAGTTGATAATGGCATATAATATTATTGCACTATTATGATGAGACTAGACAGCATAAACCTTGGTTACCAAATCAATCCATAATTTGTCAGCCCCTCTACTGTATTTTGGATTTTTTTTTTCTTTTAGCACTGAATCACTCTGAATGACACTTCCATGCAGGTCTTCAAAAACAAACAAACAATGCAATTCTATTTCTAACAGACACAATTACAAGGGATAATGAAGCTGTGCTTTTTTTGCAGGTCTCATCTCCATATATCTCAGCCCACCTGCTAGAGAGAGCAACAGAACCAGGAGGGACAAGCCTATAGGTGATTGGATTATACTATCACCCAACTTCTATCAGTGGTTCTCAACCTGGGGTCCCCAGATGTTTTTGGTCTTCAACTCCCAGAAATCCCAATAACTGGTAAATTGGCTGGGATTTCTGGGAGTTGTAGGCCAAAAACATCTGGGAACCCCAGGTTGAGAACCACTAGTTCATTCAAAGAGAATTACTTGATTTCTAAGAGACTGTCTGAAACATGATGACAGTATAGAGACAACACCATGTTTCAACTTCTTCCCACACAAAGTTATCCAGAGTTTAGCAATAAAATGACAAATTAGAGACTGGAGAAGCCCTACAATGATATGCCTTCATCAGTCTGCATTAATGTTCCGTGTGATAAAAGAAAATTGACATTAAAGGCATTAATGGTCATAATAATATGGAAATCAGCCGTCGTTTGGAAATTTGGGGCAAGAGTTTTTTGGGGTGCATTGTTTCATAGACTTACCATGGCTGAGCTTCCAGCCAGTCTCCCAGAAAGCAGCGTAGGTCATGAGGAAACTCTTCAAAGAGGCCATTGAACCGCTCTGGAGGCATGTCAGAGACAAGGCTCCACAAGGACATCTTGGAATTGGTCATTCAGCACAGTAGTCCCGTTCGCTGCTGCAATAGAACATATACAGGAGGTTACAACACCTACTGGCCAATGGCCAATCTGGGACTGTCCTTTTTACTGCTGAAGAAAGGCCTCTTTAACATCCACAAATCAGATGATCTACAATGTTCTTTAAATAGACAACTGACATACCGAAAGCTACCCTATACTACTATCAGAGTTTTAACCTAAGTAAGTTGTTTCAGGGTAGATGTAAAAGCCTTTTAAAATGTGAATTCCATAAGAGAGACAAACAAGAATTAACAATTTAATAAGAAGTAAAAAAAATATAACAAGCAAAGGTTATAATGCAATACAATATAATACTAATCTATATATATATAAATTTTAATGTTCAAAACCACTGGATGAATTGACAACAAATTTGGACACAATACACCTATCAGGCCAACAAGTGACCATCACTCATAAAAACACTGAAAAACACAGCTGAAGGGACTTAAAAAGCCAAAAAATACATTACAAGGCATGCACAAAACCACATATATACCCACATAAACATACATACATAAAACACATATACACAGACTGGGCCACAGCAACACGTGGCAGGGGACAGCTAGTAATCTATATAAATAAAAATATAATGTTCGTTTGTGGGATTAACATAGCTCAAAAACCACTGGATGAATTGACACCAAATTTGGACACAAGACACCTATCA